AACTAAAGTTTTATGCATTTCTTTTGAAATAATATGTTATTTAAAAAAAATTCACGCTATTTATATTTATTTAGAAACTTTTTAATTATATCTCAAATCGAACTTAATTTATATTTTATTAGTGTTTTTATCTATAAATAAATAAATAAAAAATGTTTAATTAAATAACTAAAGTTTTTGAATATATTGCACTGTCAGTCAGCAATGGTTTCTATATATATATATATATATATATATATATATATATATATATGAAAAAATAAAGTGACTAGACCGTCCAGTGCACTAAGTTCTCCCGCAAGAACATAGTGCACTGAATATTGTAATAATGTTCTCCCGGGAGAACATAGTTATAATATTTACTATAAGTGTGTTTTCGCGGGAGAACTTAGTGCACTGGACCAAATTTTATATCTAGTCACTGTACACTCACTAAACTCATATATATATATGGGAAAAATATTTCTCTAGTAACTTGAGATAAGTTTATCTTCGGCCACCCCAAAACTAGGTCGTTTTATTTATTTATTTGCTTATATTAATTGATTCACCTTTGAATGGTTATGATTTCCTATTTTTTTCTCTTCCTTTATCACCATTGATCAATCTTTGTACGGTTATGATTTCGTAGCTGGAGATAAAATTATCTCAGGCAGTATATATATATATATATATATATATATATATATATATATATATATATATATATATATATATATATATATATAGGGAAAAGATATTATAACAATCAAGTTGTGTTACTACCAATGTTACTGCCAATCAATCTCACCGTTCGATTGATTATGTTCATCCAACGGTTATATTTATTTTCATCTATGTATGGTCATGATTTCTCAAATTTAATACTTTATATTTATTTTTACCTTTGTATGGTTATGATTCCCCATATTTAATGCTTTCACTTTAAATATGGGAAATCATAATCATACAAAGATGAAAATAAATATAACCGTTGGATCAACATAATTGATCTAACGGTGAGATTGATTGGTAGTAAATTGGTAGTAACATAACTTGGTTGTTACAATATCCTTCCCCACATATCTATATATAAATATGGGAAATCATAACCATACAAAGATGAAAATAAATATAACCGTTGGATCAACATAATTGATCTAACGGTGAGATTGATTGGTAGTAAATTGGTAGTAACACAACTTGGTTGTTACAATATCCTTCCCCACATATCTATATATAAATATGAGAAATCATAACCATACAAAGATGAAAATAAATATAACCGTTGGATCAACATAATTGATCTAAGGGTGAGATTGATTGGTAGTAAATTGGTAGTAACACAACTTGGTTGTTACAATATCCTTCCCCACATATATATATATATATATATATATATATATATATATATGAGGCAGGATCCTTTGACACCTCATCTAAGAGCCGTTGGATCAAAAAAGATCAATGGTGTCACATGTTTACAAATTAGAATCGTTGATCTTTTTTGATCTAACGGCTCTTAGATGAGGTGTCAAACTTTAAATTTGACACCGGTGTCAAAGGATCCTGCCTATATATATATATATATATATATATATATATATATATATATATATATATATATATATATATATATAAGGAAGGTTATACTTACAACCCTTTTTTTTTTTACAACCTCTTACAACCATATTTTAACCATTGATTTCCGTAAGTCAACGGTTAAGATTTTTGCAAATTAAATTTATTAATTCACAATAAGTGATAATCGTTGATTGACGGAAATCAACGGTCAAGATATGGTTGTAAGAGGTTGTAAACGAAAATAGGTTGTAAGTATAACCCTCCCCTATATATATATATATATATGGAAAAAATATTTCTCCGGCAACTTGAGATAAATTTATCTCCGACCACTTCAAAACTACGTCGTTTTGTTTATTTATTTTCTTATGTTAATTGATTCACCTTTGAATGATTATGATTGCCCTTTTCTCTCTCTTCTTTTATCACCATTGATCCATCTTTGTACGGTTATAATTTAGTAGCCAAAAATAAAATTATCTCAAGCTGAGAAACGATAAGCCCTATATATATATATATATATATATATATATATATATACATATATATATATAGGGAAAAATATTTCTCCAGCAACTTGAGATAAGTTTATCTCCGACAATCCCAAAATTACGTCATTTTGTTTATTTATTTCCTTATATTAATTGATTTACCTTTGAATAGTTACTCTCTTCCTTTATCACCATTGATTCATCTTTGTACAATTATAATTTAATAGACAAAAATAAAATTATCTTAAACAGTTTAAAAAATGATAAGCGCATAAATATAAATATATATATATATATGGAAAAGTATTTCTACAGCCACTTTAGATAAGTTATCTACAGCTACCATTTTTAACTAAGTACGACCGGTCGTACTTAGTTATAACAATAAAACTGCTCTCTTTTTTTCTCTTCTCAGACACTGTCGGCTGACGTGGCGGAGAAAGAAAATGCACTTTTAATGTACGACCGGTCGTACTTAGTAAAAAAAAATAACTGTAGACAACCTTATATAAATTGACATATATATATATACAAAAACTATGGCTTTTGTTTGTATGCTCTATCACGTAGGAACACAAAGACGCATTGATGTGATTGTCGCCATATTCAGACGGACAACTCTGCAATATTTATTTGTTAGCGTACGTAATACGATGCCCATTGTATTTTATTGTTACATAAGATTCAAAATTTGAACTTGCACTAAGTAACACCAAACCAGTTTGTACATTTTTTTTTTTTTTTTTTTTGATAACACCAGTTTGTACATTTTCCATGGTTGCATTTCTTGTTACTGTATTAAAGCCACGTGATCACCTAGAGTTTTGTTTCTTCTTTTCCACGAAGAATCATATCTTTACATTACAATATATATATTTTTTTGGTAAAAATACATTACAATATTTACCCAATTTTTATTCCAAAAATTAAAAAAAAGTGTTATCAAAATATATGTTTTTAATTTCATCTAAAAATAATATATATAAGTTATCTTTTCATACAATTGTAAGAATTGAACACATAACCTAATACAAATTACCGAAACTTCATAGCCACTAAACCAATTTTAATGGTTTAAATGTCATTATTCTTTCTCTATTATTATCATCTCTTTAATATTTTATTGTCTTATGGGTGATCTCTTACTAAAAATTTTCTAAAGACAATTTATTTGTTATAACAAAAGTAAGCTTCAGTTTATACTAACTGTTGGGATCAACGATCCCTCAAATAATCACGCAAAAGCATTCACCGGATTGGTAGTCACGAGCTTTTTGCTCGGCACACACGGTTAGAATTGGTCAGCATATACTACACAACCGGTTGATACAAGCAAAAGGCCTAAGTCTCCAGTCGGACAAACAGCGCAAAAAAATACAGGAAGCAGGAAAGGCAAAAATAGAGATGAGACGAAGAAGAAGACAAACCAATTTTAACGTGGAAAACTTTCTCCAATGTGAAGAATTAAAACCACGAGACACTAGTCCAAAAAAATTTCACAATAAAAAATACTAGGATTACAAGAAATCAAACTTCTCTAGACTTACTAGAGGTGCTCTCAAATCTCACCAACAACGGTGATTCTCTCAGACTTTTCTAAAAATGTTTGTTTCTCAAACTTCTCTCTAGAGGAATCGATTATCAAAAATTACTATCCAAAAATTAGTTACAATCAGTTTCTCGGGATTTTAAAGTTGAGGGGGAACTCTACCCCTTCTTCGATCTTCATTAATGAGAAGTGAGAAAGCATTTATTTAGGTGATTGAGAAAAATTAAGACATCGAGCCTTACACCCGATATGCAGTGCATGGCCACGCCTCCAAGTCGTCAGCATTAAAGAAGGAACAATAGAACGCACCCCGAAAAAATATGCCCTTTCCGAATTTAATGCATCGAGTCAGATCCGGTGGGGCTCAACAGCTCGGCTCCTTCACAATAATTTTATAATTTTCTTGCACTGGTCGGTTTTATCATCATATCGGACCAGTTTCGGTCGATATGATTGTTGGCAAGCTCAAGTTCTTTTTCCTCTATCACCGCCTAGATCGAGTGATACCTCACGTCATTATGTTTCGAGTGGGCGTGATAGGTTGAGTTCTTCGCCAGATGAATAGCACTCTCATTGTCATACTTCCGGTCATATTTTTCTTGTTCATAACCAAGAAGAAATTTCTTCATCCATATCATCTCCTTGCAAGCTTCAGTCGCTGTTATATACTCAGTCTCATTCGTTGATAGTGCAACATACTTCTACAACTTTGATTGCCAGGAGACAGCTCCTCCTGCAAAAGTCAGCAAATATCATGTCATCTACTTCATTTAGTCAAAATCTCACCCTAGATCAACATATATAAAGCCTAGCAGCTTAGCCTTACCCTTTCCAAATCAGAGGCATGACTTTGTTATTCCTTAGAGATATTTGAAAATTAATTTCACAGTTTCCTAGTGTTCCCAGCCGGGAATAGATAAATATCGGCTGACTACTCCAACAACATATGTCAGGTCGGATCTTGTGCAAACCATTGAACACATCAAACTTTCGATTGCAAATTGATATGGGATCTTCAACATCTCTTCCTTATCTTCATCTGATCTTCTGATTCAGTTTTATATGTCTGGCCAGGGGAGTGCTCGCTATCTTGGCTTGATCCATACAGAATCTCTTCAAGATCTTCTCAATATATTTTTCTTGGGAAAGCCACAATAGCTTTCTCGGTCGGTCTCTAATAGTCTTGATTCCCAGAATTTTTTTTGCAGGTCCAAGATATTTCATTGAGAAGGATGAGTTCAAAGCCTTCTTTAGGCCAACTATCTTCTACTTATCTTGCCCTACAATCAGCATATCATCAACGTACAAAAGTAAAATAAAAAAATCTCTGGCCTCATACCCCTTCATAAATACGCAGTGGACAGCCTCAGTCTTCTTGAAATTATGCTCAGTCATGAATGATTCAAACTTTTTATATCACTGCCAAGGTTCTTGTTTTATACTATACAAACTCTTCTTCAATCGACAGACCTGATCTTCTTGTCCTGGAGCTTAGAACCTTCCAGGTTACTCCATGTAAGGCTCTTATTCCAGAATGCCATGAAGGAAAGCAGTCTTCACGTCCATCTGCTCTACTTCCAAAATCATTGAGGCTACCATGGTTAATACCACCAGGTCTAAAGTCATCTTCATGACCGAAAAAATATTTCATAAAAGTTTATCACTTTCTTCTGATTTCAGTCTTTCACTACAACTCTTGCCTCGTATCTTGGCTTCTGGCCGGCATCCTCATGCTTGATCTTGTAAAGCTATTTGTTCTTCAGAACATGTCTTCCTTTTAGCCACTCGACCAACTCATAAGTCTGGTTTTCATGCAAGGACTTCATCGTATCTCGTATAGCTTTCTCTCATTCATTTCGTTCAATAGACCACATTGTTTCTTCATAACTGTGCAGTTCTCCCTCTTCAGTAACCACAATATACTCATCAAGTGGATACCTGGAAGACGGTCATCTCACTCTAGTTGAGTGTCTTGTTTTTCGATTGTCAGGTTGATGGTCCTGATCATTATTATCATCTTGGACCTCTGTTTGATCGACATCATTATTTTCTTCATTAACTATTAGTCGGTCAGATTATTTCATTCATTCTGATTAGTATTCTCTTGAGTTATTTCTCCATTTTTTTTCGCCCGAACAAGAGGGACTGATTCTTCACACCGGCTAGCAACTCGAACTTTGGGCTTTTAGATGTCTCTAATGGTTTCATCTTCATGGAAGAATACATCTCGGCTCCTCACAACCTTCTGGCTGTCACGATTCCAAAATCGTTATCCAAATTCACATCTTCGGGAACCAAGGTATATGCACTCATTTGTCTTGGTGTCAAGCTTCGTCATTTCATCTTTTAGAATATGCATGAACACCCGGCAACCAAACACCTTCAAATAGTCATAGGTTGCTTTTCGACGATCTATACTTCTTTAGAAATTTCTACTTCAAGTGGTCAAGATGGTAACAAATTAATCAAGTCTACAGCCATTTGGATGGTTTCACCCCAAAATGACTTTGGCAGCTCGGCATGAGATAACATGCATCTGACTATCTCTTCTATTTTTTCGTTCATCCGCTCGACAACTCTGTTCAGCAAAGGAGTTTTGGGAGGCGTCTTCTCTAGACTTATACCAGTCACCCGACAATAGGCTTCGAACGAGCTGCAATATTCTCCTCTGTTATTCGATCGGACTACCTACAGTTTTCGCTTGGTCTCCCTTTCAACCATAACATTAAATTCTTTGAATGCTTAGAGAACCTTGTCTTTGGACTTCAGCAAATATACTCACACTTTAAGAGAATTATCATCAATAAAGGATACAAAAATATTGAGCTCCACCGATCGATCTATTCCCTATGGAACAAACATCACCATGGACGAAGTCTAGGATATACCTTCGTCGTTTGGGCTGAGTAGGTCGAACAAAAGACACTTTGTGCTGCTTTCAAGCAAGGCAGTGCGTGAAACTCATCATTAATCTTCATTTCAATCTTTGATAACTGATTCATAACGCATTTGAACATGTTTAAATGCTCGATGATACTCATGTCATCCTTGTATTCAAGCTTTAAAAGTCGGCGAACCAAGTGTGTTGTGTTCCTTGAAGTCTTCTTCTGAATCATGGACTCTAGCTTCGTCCATAGCTCATACGCATTGGTGAATTTGTAAACATGCTCGAAGAGGCTTTTATCATTGTATTCCTTGACTGTAGCCACGGTCTTCTTATTCAAAATCTCTCATTCTTTTTAATTCTTCCTTTCAGGTCTAATGGCATTAAAGAATAGGCTCATATGGATCTTTACAATATAGGTGGTCCTCAATCATAGGTCTCCAATAGGTGAAATTATTAGCTGTCAGCTTGAACATATCTCCATCATGTGATATTACACTTGTCTCTATCTCGTCTTCTTGAAAACCCTTCGAACTCGAGCTCTGATACAACTGTTGGGTTCAATGATCCCTCAAATAGTCTCTTAGCATTCACCCAATTGGTAGTCTCGAGCTTTTTGCTCGGCACACACTATACAACCGGTCGGTCAATACAAGCAAAAGGCCTAAGTCTCTAATCGGACAAACAACGCAGAAAAATACAGGAAGCAAAAAATGCAGAAATAGATATGCGATGAAGAAGAACACACAACAATTTTAACATGAAAAAACTACTCCAATGTAGAGAAGTAAAAATCATGGGACACTAGTCCAAAAAATTTGCACTATGCAAAATAGTAGGATTAGAAGAAATCAAACTTCTCTAGACTCGCTAGAGGTGCTCTCAAACCTCACCAACAATGATGGTACTCTCAAGTTTCACCAACAATGGTGGTTCTCTCATACTTCTCTAAAGAGGTCTCTGAGAAGTCTCTCTCAAACTTCTCTCTAGATGAATTGACTATCAAAAACTATTATCCAAAAGCTAGTTATGATTAGTTTCTAGGGTTTTTATAGTTGAGTGGAAACCTTACCCCTTCTTTGATTTCATTAATGAGAAATGAGAGAGCATTTAATAGGATGATTGAGGAAAAATCAAACATCAAGCCTTACACCTAGTATGCGGTGCATGCCCACGCCTCCAAGCCGTCAACATTAAAATTAAAAGAGGAAAAGTGGAATGCACACCAACACTATCCAATAAACAAAGTTTAAAGGCGAAGGAAAAAGAAAGTAAAAAGTTATTTTTCCAACCAATTTCTTTTATGCAATTGCAATTATAATTTTACAATGCATGAAAAGATTGACCTTCTGCTTAGGATATAACATATCTCATTCTATGAACCAAAAAAGTTTTATTATATGTAACAAATGTACCATATCCCTATAGAGTTCGGTATGATAGAGTGATCATTACTCTTCCTTTTCCTATTCCCTCAATATACTGGAAACCAGAAAATAATAATAATAAAGGTTCGTCGCTTCTTATGTTGCTGCAAATGAAAACTTTTGCAACAAACACAATTATATTAAAATCCACCGATGAAACCTGACATTTAAAAAAAAAAAATCAGTATTCAAATGCATATCTTGACTTTATATAATGTTGCTGCAGAAAAAAAAATTACAATGAAAGGAGAAGTATATTTCTATAATAATAGTTGCAGTATTCAAAAGCATGAAGAGACGTGGGCCACCCCCCCCCCCCCCCAATTTCAAGAAATTTTTTTATATATATAAAAAATAAAATTTGAATAATATTATTAAATTATTTGTTTTAAAATTTTATAATATAAAATTAATCTCCATAACACCATCAATATCACACTACACTCAACCTTTTTTTATTCCTATTTCTATTCCCCAACCCACTTCTCCCTCTCTCAACTTTAACAAACCCTCATTACCCATCTGCAACCCATGGACCCCAACGCCATTAAATCTCCTCAGAGGTCTTTCTCTATCTCTATTTTTTTATGAAATTCTTTATCTGTATCTCTATTCCTATTTAATTGTTTTGTCTCGAAAGTCGAAAGTCGAAACCCGTTTATTTTGAAATCTGCATTTTTTTATAAAAGACATCAAACAATAGTTTGAAATCTGCGCATATCATCCATGTTTTCGTTATTTTTTCAATTGTTCTTTTTATTTTTTATTCTTTTTTTTTTGTGGGAACTGGTGAGTCTATTTTATTTTATTGTAGGTTTCTTGACTATCAAACAATTGTTCTATTTTATCTGTATCTCTACGCCTATTTGATTGTTCTATTTTATAAAAGACATAAAACAATTTTTCTATTTTATTTTATTTTTTATAGTTTGAAATCTGCGAATATCATCCAACTTTAGGATTTTTAGGATTTTTTCTATTTCATCCTTTATGTGAATCATATTGAACTTCACACTCAAGCATGTATTTTGAACTTTTGATTTCTTGTTTGCTGACTACGATTTTATTTTATATTTTATACATGAAATATTGTAGGTATTTATTATGGGAAAGAGTGCTACTATTGATGTTTATTTTAAGATAAAGAATACTGAGTCTTTTCCCTCATCTACTTGCATTGTCAAATATTGAAACTCCTTCTTCAAAGTTTCCTAGAATTGAAAATAAAGAGGTAGTTAAAGTTGATTTTGCTTCACTGGAAAGAGATCATGCACTACGCCCTCCAATATGGAAATATCCTATAAATCAACAAGATGAAATTCGTCGTGCTTATCTTAAACTTGGTCCATTTCAATGCAAGCTTCAAAATTATCCTTTTTCTGGGTCAGAGAGGAATCAATGTCATTTTTGCTCTTCTTGGTTTGACTTATTTCCATCTTGGTTAGAGTATTCTCCAAGTAAAGATGCTGCATTTTGTTTGCCTTGTTATTTATCTAGTAAACCAGGTGGTAGTGGTCGTGTTGGACTTAATACATTTGTTGTTGAGGGATTTAGAAATTGGAAAAAGGTTAATGTAGGAGAAAATTGTGCTTTTCTACGCCATGTTGGGAAAAATGCTATCTCAATGCATAAAAATGTTGTGAGTTCAAGTTGTGATCTTATGAACCAATCTCAACATATTGAGATATTGGTTGAAAAACTTACTACTCATGAGATTGCAACTAATCGTTTGAGACTACAAGTTTCTGTGGACGTGACAAGATGGCTTGCTCTTCAAAGATGTGCTTTTAGAGGTCATGATGAAAATGAAAACTTCCTTAATCAGGGTAATTTGCTTGAGATGATAAAGTTTTTAGCTTCTTATAATCAAGAAGTTGCAGCAGTTGTTTTAGAAAAAACTCCTCAAAATGCATCATATAGTTCTCCACAAATTCAAAAGGAAATTCTTCATGTTTTCTCTCAAAAGATAAAGAACACAATACAAGAAGAAATTTCCAATGCCAAGTTTTGTCTTATTGTTGATGAAGCTAGTGATGTATCTAGAAAAGAGCATATGGCTATTGTTTTGCGATTCGTAGATAAAGATGGTTTTATACGGGAAAGGTTTTTCGGTCTTGTACATGTGGAAGATACAAGTGCTAAGACTTTGAAACAAGGAATATTCAACACTATTTGTCACCATAATCTTGACGTTCAAAATATTCGAGGACAAGGCTATGATGGAGCTAGCCATATGCGAGGTGAATGGAATGGATTGCAGGATTTAATTTGCGCTGAGTGTCCAACTGCTTATTATGTCCATTGTTTAGCTCATCGCCTTCAACTTGCCTTGGTTGCTGCATCTCATAAGGTAAAACATGTTCATCAATTTTTTGAAAAATTAAACTTCATAATTAATATTGTTACTTCTTCTTGTAAACGTAATGATGAGTTAAGTGCTGCCCAAGCAAGTGAAATTGCAAGAATGATTGCTATTGATGAACTCAAATCACGAGTTGGTCTTAATCAGATTGGTACTTTACATCGAGCTGGAGCTACTCGTTGGAGTTCTCATTACAATTCAATATGTAGTTTGTTTAAAATGTTTAAAGCCACATGTGAAGTTCTTGACAATATTTCTAATGAAGGAAAGACATCATCACATCATGGAGATGCAGATAATGCATACTCATCATTGACATCTTTTGATTTTATCATCATATTGCACCTTATGAAAGAAATTATGGGTATTACTGAAGTCCTTTGTCAAGCTTTGCAACGAATGTCTCAAGATATTTCAAATGCCTTACATCTGGTTTCAACTACAAAAGAGTTACTTCAGAAATTAAGAGAGACAGGTTGGGAAGCTTTCTTGGTTCATGTTCAAGAATTTTGCATAAAACATGACATTGACATTCCAGATATGAGTGCAAAATATATTGGAAGGAGAGGTCGTGCTCGAAATGAACAAGGTGATTTTTCTACTGAAAAATTTTGTAGGGTAAATATCTTTTGTGCTACAATTGATTATCAATTGAAAGAATTAAATAGCAGGTTAAATGATAATACTATAGAATTACTTGCTTTGAGCATGACTTTATATCCAAAAAACAGGTACAAGTCATTTAATAGTGATGATATTTGCAAATTTGTTGGTAAATTTTATTCTAGAGATTTCACGGAACAGGAAAAATTGCATTTGAAGATGGAGTTACAACATTTTGAGCTTGACATTCCTAAACATCCAGATTTAATTAATTTATCAACTACATCAGAATTATGTCAAGGGCTAGCAAGAACTGGAAAGTCTATCATTTACCCTCTTATTGATAGAGTGATTAGACTTGTACTCATCCTTCCCGTTTCTACAGCAACTACTGAAAGATCTTTATGAGCTATGAAGATAATCAAGACCAGGCTTCGAAGTAGAATGAAAGACTAATTTCTTGATGATTCTTTGATTACATACATTGAAAAAGAAATTATTTTGAGTTTTAGCACGGATTCAATTATAGATGAGTTTAACAATATGAAAACACATAGAGTAAGAGTTAAGTGAAGTGATCTTAATTTCTGTAATAAATTTCTTTCAATTTTTTGCATATTAGATCTGAATTGTATTTGAAATACTTTTATTTATGAAGAGATATTTTTATTTTTTGTCCTCTCTCAATAAAATTCCTGGGTCCGCTAGTGGGTGCAACTAGCCATACAGGCGGGTAGGCCCAAGTCGAATTATCATACCAAATTATGTACGCAATCCTGAAGGTAGTAGCAAAATAGTTCAATTTCATGCTTCCATTAAAATAACGTTGAACCATAAATTACCATTATTATAAGTTTTTCGTATATGGATTGCACTGGCACACGAAGAAAAAGAAATGTATTAACAGTGGCCGCTCTTTACTTGATTTTAAGCTACAGATCAATCATCAAACACTTCCACCTAACTGCATTATTGTAATTGAATCCTATCTATAAATAAATGCAAGAAAGAACTTTAAACCTCCGCCTTTATTATTTGACATTGTGCATGGACCACATAATTTCTATTTAAAGGACACATCCCTTTGAGTAGGGTCGCAGACCCCGGTCCCGTTGCTAATAACGCTGCTGCCATTTTAAAGCGTACAAGTATTTTCATCTTCTCATGTAAATCAAAAATAAATAAATAAATAAAAGGAGGGCACCCAATGAAGACAAAAAATAAAATAAAAATTATTTCCTCTTAAAACTAATTAAATTATAACTCCATTGAGAGTAGCTTTGACATTTAAAAATTAGGGATATGATTTTTTTTTTCAGTAGATTAAAAGGCTGAGCCCACAAAAAAAAAAAAAAAACAGAAGTACATCCTACCCGCCTAAGAGTCATAAACCTAAGGAAATATTAGATGTTACGTTTATCTTTTATTTATTTATATATATATATATATATATATATATATTATTTACTTCTCTCCAATACCATGGTATCATAATCTCAATTAACAATGTGAGAAGAGAAAAAAATGAAATTCGGTTAAGATTGTGATTTAACAATATTGAAAAAGAATAAGTAAAATAGACACACACAAAAATTACAGATATTATATCCTAAAAATTATCTGCATTTTTTTTTTAGTTTGCAACTCATAAACCAGATAATCCCGGGATCACATAATCCATGTAGTTGGGGCTACTCCACACTAAACATGGGCTTTGTCTCGGTGGAATAGAATGAGAAGATAAGTGAGAAAATGGACTTCGTAATCCATCAGATCTGATTTTTTATTTTTTTTTATAATCCAGTATTGGGCTTCTTAGGTATCTATACTTCCATCAATTTCCAATGAGCCAAAAGCTCTACTTTCTTCAATTAACTTTTCCCACTTGTAGCTATAATATCTGAAAAATGACTTGGCTAATACGTTTTGCCTTAAATATATATTTTTTTAATATCGATTTTAATTATCTCTTTAATACGAGTCAGCTTTTCAGGTATTTCTATAAATTTCAATTCTTTGAGTCTGTTAAATACAGATTCTTTTCTCATTCTACTTAATTTGTATTGTCAATTGAGTTACACACATTGGATGTTTGTTTTAAGGGGTTTGATTTTCTCATGTTGAATGAGAATTCAATCTCATGTTGTAGAGATAAAAAACATGTGGGACCCATGTGTTAGAAAAAATTATATGTAAGACCCATGTCAGCACGGAAATCGAAGGGTGTGTAGGAAAATTTAAATTCTCATGTTAAATGAGAATTATAAAACCCTTGCTTTAAATATTAAAACTATAAGTAATGCTACAGGTGCTAGATAAATTCAGCATAATTGTCAAGTAATAATAAATCAAATTAAAATACTGAAAATAAGACAAAAAGAGAGAGAGAAATCTACATTAAGAAAAGATTATTCTTTAATTATAAACGAAATCTAGAGTGAAGAGAAACAAATATAAGATCTTCAACGCTTTTCCGCCCAAAAGAAAAATGATTTGATACTTTATTGGAATTCATCGACTATCTCATTCCTACATGCTGGTTGTTTTGTACCATGCCAGAAATCACTGCATATACGTGGACGTGGCTTTGACAACAAAACCGTAAGCCATGTACCCTCAATTTATTGAGCCATAACTTTCAACTCATTTATTCAAAAAAACTCTACAGCATAATCCCAAACTATACCACACTTTTTCGTGCATTCGAGTCACTGCATGTAGGGATACTAAACAAATTAATCTTTGACTCAACTTGAAGGTCTGAGTTTACATGTCTAAGATTGATTATTGGCATAGGCTTGGACTTTTATAAAAGCTCATTTAATAAAAAGGTCATTTAATAATCAAAAGCTCGGCCACTCTCAGGCTGGCCTAGTATATTATTTTTTATTTATATTTTATATTTTTTATACTACTCCTAATAGTCCTTTCTTTCTCCTCAATCAATTTCACCCCATTTTAAATGATTTTGTTCTATATTACGTTGTTTGGATATAAATTGAACTTATGAATATTTATAAAATTACTAGGGTTGTTGATTGTATATTTTGTTTGAATAAATTTTTGTTGTCTTAATTTTTTTAAACAGGCTAAACAAGGCTTTTATTTTTTGTAAATAAGTTAGGCTACAGGCCGATAGTTACATTTATAACAGTAGTCAGGCCGATACATTTAAACACAAACTTAATTTTTTAAGACTAAAATTCGACTTGTCCCATTAACACCCCTAATTACATGACAATGCGAAGCGTCCATCTCGATCATAGAGACAATAGGCCCGCGTGACATTAGGGACAAACCGGGTCACACCCAGCATGTTTCATAAAACCCCTCTCTGTAGGGCATTCTGTCCAACACATTTCTGACAAGTCCAAGCTTGTCTTGAATCTTGATTATATCTCAAACTTGTAATTTTTTATTAGACAATTTCACTTTATAATTTTTTTATCGTGTATCTCTCCAAAAAGTAATAGACGCGTTGATGGAATGGAAAAATAATGAGGATGACTAAATTTTAATGGCTTTTATGATTTAAAAAGAAATGTCCGTGTAAGCAATTTTTTTTTAAGTACTTATATAATATAATTTTATCAAAAAAAAAATTGGTTGATAATTTTATCAAATTTTAAGCAAAGAATTTGACTTTTTATCTACAACGAGTCATTGTAAATTTCATAATCATAGGATTTTTTAATATAAACACATTGCTTATTTTATTAGAAATTTTTTAACCTTTTTTTTAATTTAAGAATACACAGCAACCACACATATTATTCTTGAAAAGAAAGAGGGACGAAAATAAAGTATGATTTTATGTTCTTATATTTACTTGCAAAAAGTTTTACTGGTCTAGTATAAAATTTAAAATTTCATTACATAAAAAAAGTGAATTTTAGTGAGATAAGTTTTTTTTATCGGCACAAGTAGCAAATTCTTAATTCGATATTCAGCTTGATTAGGAAAGTGGGCAACTGCAAAGTAAACTCTCATATTTGTGATTTTTTTTTTCCGAATATAGTATGCATATCCACTTAAATAAACGAATTCCTTTTTTTTTTTTTTTTTTTCTACGTAAAATCTGAAACGGTGCATTAACCGTAGAAGTGGAACAACGAGTTTGAAAAACTCCAAATTTAAGATAAAAGGAAAAAAAAAAAAAACTGTACGAGTGAAACAGTGCATTTAAGAGTGTCAAAATGGGTTAAAACATGCAGACAAGTCCGTAAAGCATTATATTTGGTCATAATCCATTAGGACTTTTTGTGGTAGGGTCTTTTTTAGTCCTAACTCTCAAAACCCTGTAATTTTAGGGACTCGATTCCAAACTATTTTTTTCATCAAAACTTTTATTATTGAAAAAATTAAAAATTATATAAATCTACATATTTAATAATATAAGTAAAAATTATTATGAATTTGATGGAGAATATAAGAAAAAGTGAAATATGAAAGAAAAAAAAATAAAGTGTAGAAAACAATAGAAGAAAGAATAAAATAAGAATAAGTATAAGCAAAGACTCTTATATAAGGATCTATCTTAGATACATTTTTAAACATATAAGTCATGAAAAAACAAAGAGTCACGTGTTATGAACCACGTGAAAGGTCATCCATAATCCATGTGAAATGTCATCCATTAATAATTAACAGTTAAGATTTGATAGTAACAGGTAGTAAAAAAATAGGTAGTAAGTATAATCTCTCTATTTTACAATACCCCTTTGGATGTATTCTACCGTTCAACACACCATTAGTGTGATGATTATAGAATATATCAAAGGTCATGAAAAATAAAGAGTCACGTGTTATGAACCATGTGAAAGTTCATCCATAATATTTTACAGCAAAAATGAATTTTTCAGCCGTGATATATTTTAACAGAGATTTTCATCTGCGCATCAATAAAAATAGAATTTTCTATTTACTTCTAAGCATGTTATATATTCAAATTTGTATTGAAACATATTATATACAATACACATTAGTAATTTTGTGGATAATAATAACTATTTTTTTTCTAACGGTAGTAGTTAAAGAAAATCAATTATTTTACTTTCAAATATATAGCATACTAAGAGCAGTGGTATTAAGATAATTTTTTCATCATTACTTTTAGTTTTTCACTATAATTGTTGTATTCTTTTAGGGAGTAGATCCTCTCATGTGAAAAAGTGATCATGTGACCATGTTATTTGATCACAATCACTCATTTAAAAAAAATTATACATTTTTCTCTCTCTTATCTCATCATCAATATGTGGTTGTGATCAAATAACATGATCATATGACTACTTTTCCACATGAGAGGATCCACTCCCATTCTTTCATGACCCCCGGTAAGAAAATCTTTATTTGATGGTATCATTTAATAATAAATTTAGTAAAATTAATAATTAAATTTTCACTTATATTAAAATTTTATTTACATTTTCACTTATGTATTTATGTACAAATCTTATTTTATTAAAAAATTAAATTATAAAAATGATATAATTTGTATAAAATATATTAAGAAAGTGTTAAAAATTTATTTGTTAAAATATCTTTTAATATATTGAATATGATAAAAAAAATTATGAAATTATAATTTTGGATTGTCCGAGAGCTAGCCCTAACTAATAGAACTTTTGACTCGTGCAGATCTTAATTATTAAAGTTCATTTGATCTTACGGATTTCTTGACCCTAACACACAAGAATTAGGGCTTTTTCACCCTTTTGCCCCTTATTCAGAACTATCTATCAATCTGTCCCTCTTTAATTGATTAAATCAAAAATTTAATCGATTAAATGATCAAAATAGGCAAAAATCGTTGACTTGAAGATTTAGTCGATTAAATCTCCCTATTTAATCTATTAAATCTCTCATACATAAGGTTGTTCTTCTGATAAAGAGGAAGATTTAATCGATTAAGTTGAAGAGTTAATCGATTAAATCTTCATTTGATCATTTAATCGATTAAAGAGGAACCGAATAATAGATAATTTACAATAAGGGACAAAATAATTATTAAACAATTAATGAGGGAAAAAAATGTGAAAAAGCTCAATAACTAGGGTTAAATGGGACGAAATGACGCATTTTGACAGCTATGCGTTTAACCTTATTGGAACGGCGCGTTGGAAAAATTCGGAATTTAGCATAAAAGGAAAAAAAGAATGTACAAGTGAAATGGTGCATTTCACCTTAAAAGGATGGGTGTGCCCAAATTGCTACCCATGTCGTCATCGTCTTCCTTCCTCTATCGCGTTAGGGTTTTCAGAGATGCTGCCTTCGCTTCGTTACACCCACGAGAGGCCGTGCGTGCGAGGAGCAAGAAATAGTGCCTTTTGAAAATCCTATACTCGGATGCTCGAAACGACACATCACAAGATCGCAATTCTTTCGCAGGTTCTTCTCGTGTACTGGCGAAATCGAAAGATATCAACGGTATCTTGCGAAACGGTACGATAGTACGTTCTTTTCCCTTTGATTCATCCACGACACAGAGATTAAGTTAACTTATTGTCATAGGGAGGGGAAAGAAATTAAGAGAATAGAAAATCCCAAGAGGGGGAAAATAGTGACTACAAGTGGTACTTTTAACGCTATAATAATTTGGATTTTTTTTACCAAAAAATGGACTTTCGCCACATCCTGCAAGATTTAGAAGCGATTTGTGAAACCAGTTAGTTACTGCCTTTTGTTGCCGTTGTCTGCATTTTTTGTCTATCTCTTAATGCTTCACTCTAATTGCAATTTGAGTCTTTCTGTAATCTGACACGAATGCCTTAAATATATAATCTAGTATACAATCTAAACCTCATTTATGGACGTTGCAGGCTCTCTTGTAAAGTGACAAACAAAATGATAATTTGGTAGATTTGCATCCATTTCAGGCTCTTTGTATAAGTTTGTTCTTATTATTTGCATTTTAGCACCATTCTTTTTTATGTAAAAAAATCAATTCAATTCAAAAGCTAAGCTATGTAAATGCTATATTAATGGTTTTGTATATCCCTAACACGTTCCCTCAAGTTATTGGGCTGTGCTAAGAAACTCCACAAGATTTAATTAATGGGAAAAATGTTTGTCGTTTTAAATGACATAAAATTATGTCATTTTAAATCCGTAAAGAATCAAATCCGTAACACCGAATCTTTGATGTCATGTAAAGTATCAATTCTACCCAAAACTTAAGACATCCCATGGCGATTTTGCAGGAACTCAAGCCTCATATATGATCTGTTCAGTTCTTTGATTAATTTTGTCAAACACTAATTTTGTTTCCTCATGTTCATCATGGTCCGAGCTACAATCTCCATAAAGCTGTAGAGGGTAGAGATGCGATTATCATTTCATGTTTAGTTAATTGTTTACTGTTTTGTTGTAGGTTTCACTGAAATTTTTTTTGAAATGGAAGAGAAAGGAAATCAGCAGGAATCTAATGCTTCAGCAGCAGGGGTTTACGAGTTACATGGAGAACCTGCTATTGTAATCAATGGGGTACCTGACATAATCCCTAGTAACAGCACTATCCCTTTCCGTAATGATTCAACTGTTAAAACACACTTTCCTTCAGATTTGGGTGAATGGTTAGAAGGGAGGGAAGTCCGAAAGTGGTTTGAGGGAAGTTATTACTCAGGTGCAGTAACTGAGTTTGACAATGAAAATGGTTGGTTCAGGGTTCACTATGAAGATGGTGACTCGGAAGATCTTGATTGGCATGAGTTGGAAGAGGTGCTTCTTCCTATGGATGTCACAATTCCGCTCAAGTCATTGGCACAAAGGGTTGTCAGGAAAGACAAGAAATCTGTTCAGAAATCTGGGAAGAATGTTGCTCGTTCACAAAATCCCCCAATCAAAAGAAGGACAACAAAAGGACAGTAGACCATACTTCCATGGCGAGAGGCTTTGGATGAGAATTTAGTGATTTGTAGATATCAATTACATAGCCTGTAACACCAGAACTGGCATACCAAGAAATTAAACGATTTTGAAGATGCTCATTTGAAAAAGCAATTAGGAAATTGATGCTGACGGAAATTAAATATTTTGTTGTATCAGTGGGGATTGTTGTTGTTTGTAGTTCGGGAATTTGTCCCTAGAAATTCAAAAGTTTGTTGTAGTAGTGTTGATTGATATTGTGTTGTACCTGGTGCATTACATTACAGTACTGGCTTCAACGAGATTTGCTATGTTCTGTGCTGTGTGAATATAATTCCATATGAACAAATGCTTATCTCTTGCTAGAAGTTTCTTTAGGATATCTTTGTATCATGCAGGGTAGGTGTTATAATGATATACGCCAACAAATAAGATTAAAAAAAGTCGAATATATTAAACTTTAAAGGCATTTCTACAGTACGGATAAATAAAGCTAATTACTTGTTTAGTAACAAAGGTTTATTTTGGAAGGTGTCATATATCTTTGCTGGTGAATCTAAAGATTAAATTTCGTTTTACCACTCTCTTTATTCAAGTGTAATGTGTTATGCGTATACTTTGGCGCATGTATGTTCTTGAGTAGCGTAAGTTATTAATTGAAATTTAAACAACTATCTAATCTAAATCAACTATTTAAGTCTAAGGGCTTTGATTTTCAGCATAAGTTATTAATTGAAATTTAAAGAACTATCTAATCTAAATCAACTATTCAAGTGCAAAATAAAATAATATATATATATATATTCTCTTTAAAGATTCATTCACATTAAACTGAATGAAAATACTAAACTTGATCATTTATTAAAAAAATTACAATATTTTCGAATAAAGAAGAAAATAATAAAATTGGAGCATTTATAAAAAAAAATTGTAATTTACAGAATTAATAATTGACACTGACGTCATGAATGACGTATTTATAAAATCATATATTTTATATTTTGGGTAGGAGCAAAATACAATCTCTCTTTTTAGCTTTATTATGGTTTTTAAGAAAGCAAAGAAGGAACACCACATGTATGAGATGACGATAACATGTGCCCGTACAGTACCCAAGCCACGAGGATAACTACGGACATGGACACATCATAGACCCACAGACACGAAGCCACGACATTTCCGCAAACTGATCATTAAATTTTAAAAGAAAAAAGAATCAAAACGAAAAAGGCCAAAATTCAAAAGCAACATGCTTTTATCAAACTTTCACTATCGTCCGCCGTGCCTGTAGGACTATAGGACAATAGGACAGGGCCCAACTACCCTACCCGTTCTCGTTACCGTCCTCGGTCGTACGTACGTCCAGATAGTGTTTCATAACTCCTTATAAAATTCAATTCATTCGTACATTTTTAAGAAAAGTTTAGATCCAAGTATTCATTCAGAGATTACTAAATTAGTCAATTAAAAATGTAACATATGATGCCGAATTTACTAATTTTTTATTTACCGTTCAAAAATGTAAAAATAATATAATAGTTGTACTTGTGATTAATCAATTGCATAAGGAAATTAACAATTATTCCTTGATTATAAACTAAGAAAGTGCCAAATACTAATGAATCTGTTGCTCTGTCACGCGGATTGTAATAAGTAGTGACTCCACGAGATGATTCACATTCTAGGGAAGGTCGTTTCTGGCTTTGGCCTTCATATATATATATACGTTGTCAATAAAGCAACGTTTAATTAAGCTCCCCCATTACACCTAGCGTATCATCAACACCATGGAATCATTCTTCCTCAAAACCATGATAACCCAGAACAACACATTGCAACAGCAGGTCCCGTTAGTGGGCACAGATTTTTCATGGATGATTGAGTTTCTGAAGGGCATGGTGAAGCCTGTTGCAGCCACTGCGGTGGTTTTTTTGGCTGTGGCTTTGTCTTTCTCTCAGAAACTGGGGATGGAGAGAGAGATGGTTGTTGCCATTCTGAGAGCATTTATTCAGCTCTCTATTATTGGGTTTGTTTTGCAGTTCATATTCAACCAGGACAACGCTGGATGGATCCTTCTAGCATACCTTTTCATGGTCAATATTCAATGTTCCTTAAAAATTGTTGCTTGTGCTGATTAATTAATTAATTATTATCCGGGTTAATTAGTTCTGGTAGAGTTTGACAATAATAAGCAATTGATCATTACCTTGTTCATGTAACATTTAATCAAATATTTTCAGTGGTTTTATTTTATACCTTCATTTGACAGGGTAATAATATATGTTTCCTTCTGCAGGTGTCTGTTGCTGGTTATACTGCGGGTCAGCGTGCGAAACATGTTCCTCGTGGAAAGTTAGTGGCTGGGGCATCCATTCTGACAGGAACTGCAGTAACTATGTTGGTGCTAGTATTACTGAGCGTGTTCCCTTTCACTCCAAGATATATCATCCCTGTTGCAGGCATGATGGTTGGTAACTCAATGACTGTAACTGGTGTTACCATGAAAAGACTCCGCGATGACATTAAAATGCAAATGAACTTGGTATGTATGACTTGTACTCATCCCTATTAATTAATTGTAAGTTGTAACAGATAATACAGTTAAAAGCTTGCAAACTCTATGCTGTGATTGAGATCTACACAAATTTCAACAGATCCACCCACACACACAAAAAGAAAGAAATAAAAAGTCACTGAAAAAGTATCTAGAAATTTCAGAACCACAGAATAAAATAAAATAAAAAATTTAGATGAAATTCTTTGTTTGAAAATTATAATTAAGAATTGATTTGACTGGAATCAAATAAACTTAAATGAAGTTGCTTTTTGAATATGTTTTTTTAATGATTTCAAACATTAATGCCCTATTTCTTTTGTCTAATCATTTGTCATATCATTAAGCATTAATGTTTTTCCTAGGCGCAGATGCATACCGGTGTTGTTGCCTGTGTGTGCATTTAAACACAAAAATTTGAGAATTTTTTTTTAAAGAACTGGGTAATTTAAATCAAGTAAAAAAATAAATAGAAAGATTGAAAAGAAAAAAATAAAAATAGGCCCGAGTCCAACCCACCCAACCCATATAATTAAAAGCTTAAAGCTTAGACCCTACCTCATTGCTTTGTCTTTTTTTTTTTTTTAAACATAAACCTTATTAGCTCCAAACCTTAATGGATATTAATGATTCCTGAAATTTAATCTTTATCAAGTGGAGGAGAATCGCATCGGATTTTTCACATTTTTTTGTGAAGCAAAAGTGGTCAACTTTAGATCAAATAGATATTGATAAAAGTTGATTTTTGATCAATTAACTCTTACAATTAATACATTTAAAAAAAATTAAAAAAATCTTCTTGGACATTGCTCCCAAACCCTCACCTTAAGTGTGCACACATAAATTTTTTTTCTTAGATCCGCCACTAGCTGGCGCTACCTTTTTTGCTATGAAAAAATTATATGAAGGTTAATTGGTTATGAAATAAATTTATGGATGTTTCATCTCCCTCTGCATCTTCTCCATTATAAGTAGTATAACCACTTGTATATAAATTATTGTTCATACACTAGGTACTATTCAGTATTATTTATAATTATTGTTCATACGCGATCTATATGCGGGTTCCTGTAAAGCTTTTGATGCCAAATTTTAACAGAGTTATATTTTCAAGTACTCAAACTTAAGACAATGAGCTGAAACAATTTCTTATGAATTAACTCATATGCTTGGTAGTAACGGGTGAGTGTTTTGTTATTACAGGTTGAGACGGCACTGGCTCTGGGTGCAACCCCGAGACAAGCAACGCATCAGCAGGTAAAAAGGACTCTAGTTTTAGCATTATCTCCAGTGGTGGACAACACTAAAACAGTGGGTCTAATATCCCTTCCTGGGGCAATGACTGGTCTGATTATGGGAGGGGCTTCACCATTGGAAGCAATTCAACTACAAATTGTGGTCATGAATATGATGATTGGTGCAGCAACTGTTAGTAGCATAGTGGCTACATACCTATGTTGGCCAGCCTTCTTTACCAAGGCTTACCAGTTGGAGACCAGAGTCTTCTCAAATTGATTCCACCTAATTTACTTCAAATCTCCTTCCCGGGATACAGCCTCGTAATCTATTCAGCTATAACTGTAGATGACCGGTTTTTTTTTTTTTTTTAATTACTAAATTGCAGATGTTGGGATGATAAGTTTGTTTCTCAAAACAAATTTTGATAAAATAAAATAAAAAAATTCTCATAGTTGTATTGATTTATCTCTTAATGATGAAGTCATGGTCAGAATATGGATTATATCATCATTGTTATGGAAGTAGAATAAATAAAACTCAAATCATATTAATGAATGAGGGGATCGAATAAGTACAATTAAATGCATTGTTTTTTTTTTAATTTTAACAAGTGTGTCATAGAAATATTGGGGACATTGACCGTATTGCCACTTCTGAAAAAAAATTTGCTAAAATGCCACGCCTGAATCCCGCTGGTCTGACAAGCGGGAATAGGCTGGACACGTGTCAGCGTCTGAATGGTCAACTATTCTCGCTGGACTGCCCAGCTAGAATGACAGAATGCTGACACGGACAAAAGTACAGACATCCAGAGAATGCCTGTGCTTTTGCCACGTGTCAGTATTCTGTCATTCTAGCTGGGCAGCCCAGCGAGAATGGTTGACCATTCAGATGCTGACACGTGTCCAGTCCATTCTCGCTTGTCAGACCAGCGGGATTCAGGCGCGGCATTTTGGCAAAAATTTTTTCAGAAGTGACAATCAGGTAAAATTTTGCCTAAAAAGTGACAATATGGTCATTGTCCCGAAATATTGAAGATATTTTCAGAATATGAAAGGTGAGTGAAATGGTGCGTTTCATAAAAGGAAAAAAACTTTATAACAATTTTTTAAGGGGAAGGTTATATTTACAAATTTTTTTGTTTTCAAACTCTTACAAACTACACTAAGTATAACCGGTCATACTTTAATCAAGAGTTATGATCGATCATATTTAGTGTAATTTGTAAAAAAAATTTGTAAACGAATTATTATTTTTTTTTTAAAGATATTGAAATATTTTTTAATTAAAAAACATAAACTAAGTAATTTATTTCTTTTTCTTATTTTGTCCTTTCGTTATGAAAATATAGCGACGATGGATGCTAGAACCTGAAATTAATGGGACAAGACAAAATATTGGCAGATAGACAGTGACTAGTCCAACGCGTTGGTGTTCAGTTCAGCTATGTTCAGGAAAATTTCTTCTACATTCGTTTGTTAAAACTTATTACATTTTTTTTTTGGGAAATAATACTCTTATGCTACATAAGAGTACATTATTTTCTTACACTAATTCATTTTCGGTGCCAATTAATTTTTCTTTTTTTTTAAATATAAAATATGGGACCCACATTTAATTTCTCTCTACTTTTTTTATCTCCTACAATCCTATAACATAAGAAAACTTAAACTTTTTTTTTGTGCCTTTCGTTTTCACATTTAAATCAAGGCAAAATCAATTCTTATCTAACAGGAATGTGTTAATCTTCTGTCACTCATACTTCGAGAAACGTGTCAAACATTTTTTATTTTATTTTTTACAAAATCTGGTGGATCTTTGCAGGAAAAAAACGACGATCTTCGGTGGCTGAAGAAAAATGCAAAGCCCTTAAATCAATGGTTGAAGATGTTTTAGAAAAATAATTTCTCTACCATTAAAATCCTCCCTAACGTACGAAAGAATTTTTATTTTTCTATTTGGTTTGCTTAGCAAGCATTAATAAAAACGAGTGATGAAAGAAAACGTAACAACCCCGCCAACACAGGCGGCGATGAGTAATGGTTAGCCATGTAGAACCAGGTCTACGGGCAAGGAATATTTTCCTCAAATGAGCCTATTCAATTTTCATCGCAGAGGTTGTAACTGTGATTCGCTTATCATAAGCGACAAATGCAACTGAGGAAATGTTCTCGTTGAATTGTGTTACATCAACTACTAATTATAGAATAAATTATTAATTAACAACATGTATCGGTTAGCGAACTGATAATATATTTAAAAGAAAAAGCATGTGAATTCATTAATCAAATAATTTATGTTATTAATTAAATGTATACTATTCATAGCAAGTATATTAATAACATAACTGACTCCCATTACAAAAGCACAACTTGACCAATATTAAAGTTGATTCGATCGGGCCCATGAATGGGAAAATGATGGAGCTCTTTTTCAAGTGCAGAATAGAAGAATCTAGGCCTATTTCTATTATTCCAGTGTCCATCACCATTATATAGTACCCGAAGATAGAGAAAATGCCAAGCTTGCCCCTAATTTACCACAACTTGGACGAATATATAGTTGAAAAATCTATTTATGGCCATGTGATCATATGGTATTGATTCTTCTTGTTGGAAGACTCATCCTAGTCTCAGCTGGGCCTCTGGGACTGGCACATTCCCCCAAAGTCATATTGGGCCTCTAAACTATAGAGCCTATTAAAGTTAGTATATAAAAATTCTCTTATTTTTAAATAACTGAAACTCTGAAAGTGGTCATCTTAAAATAATAAAAAAGATATAATTTATTTTAAATATAACAAATGAATTTTATAATCAAGATAAATACCAGTTAGACAAAATTTGTATTCGTTTGTCTATAACAGTATGCTCTACTTGAAAGCATCCAATTTTTTTTTTCAAATTAACTTAATGTTAATTATTTTTGTAAGACGTGTTTTGGAGTGCAGGGTGGATTAGAAATGAAAATATTTAAATTTTTCTTAAAAATAATATTTTTTTTTCACTTACTAATCTCCCTTACTACCAACTGAGTTACTACTATTTGATTTCAAATCCTTTGGGGGTGTATTGGATTAAGATTTTAAAAGATTTTTTTGAGCTAAAAAATCTTATAGATTTTAAAAGACTATTTAGAATTGGAGAGACATTAAAGACTTTTTTAAAAGACTTTTTTTTACAATCAAGATTTCATAAGATTGGATTTTAAAGGATTTTAATAGAATTTATAAGATTTGAAAGGACAATATGGATTTATAAGATTGTAAAAAATCATATGAATTTTTAACAAACATTCAAAATTACAAGAGTCAATAAAAAATAGAAAGGTTATACTTACAAGTTACAACTTATTTTTGTTTACAACATTTTACAACTATATCTTAACCGTTGATTTTCGTCAATTAATGGTTATCATTCATTGCAAATTAAATATTAATTAATTAGTTTTATTTGCGAAAATAATAACCATTGATTGACGAAAATCAACGGTTAAGATATGGTTGTAAAAGGTTGTAAACAAAAATAGGTTGTATATATCTTCCCCATAAAAAAATAACAAAGAAATGCAATGAAATTAATAAAAAAAAAAGTAAAACCTAATATAATTTTCTCAATCAGTAAAACATAATATTATTTTTAACAAACATTCAAAATTACTAAACAACAGCTTTTCACATATCTAATGGGTTGAAAATTATCTTCTTTATTTGGTATCAAAGCTATGCATATATGATTATAAGACCCATTTTTTTTAATTATAAAATTAATTCTAATTTTGCATATAGAACCTAAAGTTCGTGATAAAATTTCGTTTCAAACTTTTTGCAATTGATCTTGGAAACCTTGGGAATTTTGTTTTACGTGATAAGAGTTTTTTTTTTTGAAATATTCCAATCGGTTCATTGCTTCGTAACTAATCCGATTCGGGGCGGGTCCAGGATTAAGGCTTTAAACCCCTCCCAAAGGTGGTATTGGAAAGATTCGAACACATGCTCTCATCCCCACCTGCTTAGCTCCTATGCGCCAACTGAGCTACCGCCATTTGGTGTGATAAGAGTTTTCTAACCATATATCATATGCATATTTTCATTGAATATTCTAAGAAAATTTTGAATCTGAAATTTTGGATTTAATTGCGTGAAAGTTTAGAAAATTTCTTAATTTTTTTTCAATTGATACACTGGAACCTTAAATTTCTTTGAGGCTTTTGAGAAACAAGCTTTTAGTTATCTATTGACAGAAAAATTATTTGAAATTGTTTCCTCTGGTGAAGGAATTTCGTTCATCAATGTATTGTTACGAAATATAGGGTTCATATTATGAAAGTTTCAATTTATCTTTAAATTGATATTGTTTCACTGATGTAAAACGAAAATTGGTTTGAGGGTTTTAGTTCCCCTGTTATTTTTTCACTGTTTTATGTTGTTTTTAATACAGAAATTATACATTTCTATGCCAAGAAAAACCGCGACCATAGCTTGAAAAATCAATTTTTAAACTTCCAAAATTTCTCAAAAATAGCTAAAAAATGATATTTTTGAGATAGATTATATTAAAATCTAGTTGGTTTGTTGTTTCTGGATTGTTTTGTAATGAAAATTGTTCAAAAATATGCTCTTTTTTAGTTTTGATGAAGCTCCCATGGCAGAACTCAATTTCGAGCAGTCAACCTGCCAAAAAGAAGAAGAAAACAGTGCAATAGAAGAATCTCAAGAAATCCTAGGAGTTAGGGTGAGATTGTGAGTGAGACATCTTATTTGTATTTTTTACTAAAAAGTCTCACGAGATCCACACCAATAGAAAATCCATTAAAATCGTTGAATTTTTTAATACCACGAGATTGTGATTCCATTGTTTAAAATCTTGATTGAATACCAACAGATTTGAACGGATTCTAAAATAATCCTTTAAAATGCTAATCGAGTACCACGTGAATTTTTTTCAATCCATTAAAATCCTAATCGAATACCAACGGAACTTTTTGTCTAAAAACAATCCATTAAAATTCTTTGAAATCTCAATCTAATACACCCCCTTAAATTATAGCCAAATTTGAATTTAAAATGACATGTGAACTTCATTAGAATATGTTAGCGTTATTCAAAATGAAATGGAATGAAATACAACTTCACGAATCTAAGATAGGAGGAAAAAGAAGATAATTATTTATCATTGATCGCTCTTAATCATTAGTGAAGTAAAATATTAGAATTTGGTTTTTTTAAAATGAAGCTGGTTAGTAGGTTAACCTTTGTCTCAACAATCGATGGAGCTGGGTAGGGTGCACGTTTCCTCTTCCATCCAATAATGACGTGGCAGCGATGCGCATGTTGTGTACAGTACACACACCACACCAGATTCCACCCTTTAGCTTGCTCCAATAGTCCATTTGCGACCCGGTCACCCTCCTCCCCCTTCCCACGCCATACCTCCAACGTCGTCGTTTATCGTTCAACGAGAGAAATGCAAACGCGATCCCAATACCAGTGAATCCGATCCATTCTGAATCCCTCCCTTCGAAGATTCTGTATGTTAGTCTTTAATCAATCATTTCCTACCTAAGTTTTCTCGCCATCTCCATGTCGGTTCCACATCTGCGCAATTCTAGGGTTTCTCTTCACCTTCTCATCTCCTCTATATTCTTCATCAATTTTCCAGGTAAATATTCCTCACCTTCTTTCTTTTATTAGTTTATTCTGTAATTGGGGGATGCATGTGAAACCTAACATCCATAATTACCCAATAACTAAAAAGTTTACTCAACACCCCAAAAAAAAAGGGGGGGGGGGGGGGGGTAAAAATACATTATTTTTATGTACTGTTGCTTTTATGCGTGGCCCTTTGATGCTTTTATCAGTATGTGAAAAAAAAAAAGTTTATAAATTGAATGCTGTTTTGATTTGGGTGGCTTGTTCTATGTACTGTTGGTTTCCCAGGATTGGTATTATCTTCAGTTGTTACGCTAAGTTCCATTGAGATCTTCACAACCCACGAGTGGCTAAAAGCCACTCCAACTGTCTATTTCCTTTGCAAAGGGGACAACAGGACTGAATTGCCTGATGTCAAGAAAAAGCATGTCTTATATGCTTTTAAGGGTGAAGAGTCTTGGCAGGTTCCTTATTTTACATCTTTGCTCCTTCTTCTTTTTTTGGCTTTTTTGTGAACTGTTTATGATTTGAGGTTTAATTTTGCTGGCTGAGTTTACAAGGTATATGATAAATTGGTAGTTTTTTTAATCCATGCCTCTTTGGCCAAATTACTATTGTTTTCGAAGTTAGGCAGATAGCTCATCTGATTATATGTAATTTACAAGAAAGCATTTGAATAATTTCAATGATTTTCTCAGTAGCCTGAACTTAGTCATTGAATTCAACTAGCTACGCGTTTGTGGTTACAACTTACAAGTGTTATTGTATGAAGTAACTACTGAGATTTTGCTTTGTTCTTCCAGCCTATGACTAATTTTTCGAGTAAAAAATGCAAGCGATGTGGATTCTATGAGGAAGACAGCTTTATCGCAGATGATGTATTTGATGAGTGGGAGTTGTGTCCTTCGGATTTTACTGCCCCTGATGGCGTATACGTCCGCTTCAAGGAAAAAGAATTTAATGCTAGTTTTCTTTGCCCAGAGTGCTTATCTTTTTCTGGAAGTGAGTTATTGCAACCTTTTTATGTAAGATCATGCTATTAGACCTTGCAGACAACTGTGCCACTGAATACATGAATGGTATTCTCAAAAAATAGTTGTAACATTTATGATGGCTGCAACAATTATTAAGGTTTATCGAACGCAAACAATTAAAACTTTGATGAATGGTTTTTTAAACCTCTAGTTATAATGCTTACGTTTCTACGGATTTATGTCAAAAGAGGGCAAGTAACCTCAATAATTTTTTGTATGGGAGTTTCTCACCATACATGACTCGAGTTATTTAAGATTCTAAAGAAAAATTATATATTTCATGACTTTTTTCCCTGTCCCCAACTGGAGGAGAGGATTATACTGTATTAGTCGAAGAGAAAGTACATAGGCTTATTTATCTTAACCTTCAAATTTGTATGCTTGCTAATTATCTACGACATTATTACCATAGGTCAGATCCTACCTAGTGAGATAAGGCTGATTATTGTTAATATTATTAAGTTGTGTGTGAAAATATTTTCTTTTCATTGTTGATTTTATTTTGTTTTTGTGAATCTTGGAACTACTGGGCATGACCAATTAAGTTTTGTTCCACTTTTTTGCTATTCTGAACCAGCATTTCATGGGTTTTCTAAATTATTTTTCTCGGGTTATGCTTGCATCCATACTCATTTACTTGCTAATCTCTGCAATTTTATATGTTTGCAAAAAAAATAATTGGATTCATAGGTGTAGTTTCTATCTCTCCAGCTGACGGCAGTCATCATGATGGAAAAGGAATGCATGTAGCTGTTGTTGTCTTGCTAAGTCTTTTGGTCTCTGCTATACTGATTCTTGGAGGGGTGGGTGCATATAAGTACTGGCAAAAGAAGAAACGGGAGCAGGATCAGGCTCGGTTTTTGAAGTTATTTGAAGAAGGAGATGACATTGAAGATGAGCTCGGCCTTGGCACTATGATATGATAGCATACAAATTCCTTCCTGTACAGTAGGTTTTCCTCACAATTTTGATTATGAAAAGGATGAGAAAAGATTTTCTGGTTTGACATACAACGTCCTAGATAGGAGATAGTTGTCAAAGTGGACAGCAATACGTTGTTGTTCATATTCACCTGTACATAATACTATATATGGCTATTTTAGACTATCTTACAGAATTGCTCAAACAATCAAGTAAGAACTATGCTTTCATTGATTCTTTCGTTTTCAAAGCCCAGATGCAGGTCAGGTCCTATACCTGTGTACCGAGCACTTTTTGCTTTGATAAATTCGTAAGTCTTTCTGGAGATCGTAGGAAACACTTTTGAAGTTGAAAATTGTGATGTGGTGGAGTGAGATTACATGATTAAGATAGAAGGAATAACAACTCTTAAACCAATATCTCTGGTAATTCAAAAGGATGTCAAAGTTGAATATGGTCTTAGTAAGGACATTGATTACCAGTTCTTGTTGACTAGAAAGCGGAAAAAAAAAAACTGTTAAATATATAGAATTTGTTTAAAAATTGATGCTTAAAAATTGTTTTCAAGACAGTTTGGAGTTTCTCTATCACGGATTCAATATGTATAGAATTTCAATAGCTGCTAGTTGGCAAAGCAGAATGCCCCCTGGAATCGTTTTTTGTTTCTCATTGAAATGGCACTAGCTGTCAAACCTAATGGTCCGAAGAAACTACGATGAAGAGTCTATTCTGTATAAAAGATTTGTGAATCTCTCGCTTGGGAAAATGGAACATGTCCTGCCATTCCTTTTCATAGCAGACTGAGCAATGGAAATTGTCCTACTATTCCTTTTCATAGCGGAGCGAGCTTGAAAACAATGACTAAGTAACGGCTTGGACAAATAAAGCTAAGAGTCCATTTTCTTCAAAAGTTATTATTTTTTTTAAGAAAAAAAGTATTTCTCGAAAAAAATCTGTTTAGATGCATGCTTTTAAAAAAAGTAGAAGTCACAAAAAAAGTCGAAAATTTACTTTTTTTCGGAAGTTAAAAATTTCAGCTTCTAAAAGAAGCATAAGTCAAAAGTCAAATATTTTTTTTCAAAAATCAAATATTTTTTTAAAAATCTAAATAACTATAGCTTTTATAAAAAGTACTTTTAAAATAAAGAAGCCATAAAAAAGACTTTTTTTATAAGCCGATGCAAATGGGCTACAACTCAAACTGTTTACCAACACTTGTGCAATTATTTTAGGATTTCATCAAATAAAGGTTGTATCAAACTCCTAGACAGTTTATTCAATTTACTCTATTAACTAAGACTATCATGACTGAATTAAAATTGCTTACAAAATCTCGCAGGTTTACTTAAAACTGGAATAATCAGTCTCTGTTACGATGATTTAGTGCCTATTTAGATGCTCTCTTTTTTAAACTAGAAACTACTTATAAGCATAAGCTAGGCCAAATAGGTTTTGAAAAAAACTCTTATAATGAAAAACTCTTTTTTTATAAAGAAGAAAAAAGCTGAAAACTAAAAGCTCCTAGGAGGAGCTTTTTTTTAAACTCTTATCTATTTTTCTTGAATTGTATGCTTTTCTTTTAAATGAAGAGTTATAAAAATAGAAAGAAATAATTTTCTTAAAACATGTACTTTTAAATAATTTTTAAGCTAAATTTTTTATGTAATTACCAAACAGCTTTTAGCTTCTTTTTTAAAATCTTATTTTTAGCTTTAGCTTATAAATAGTTTCTAGCTTAAAAATAAGAAGATCCAAACAGGCTCTTAGTTACATCTGCAACTAATAAATTATAAATAAATAAATAAAACTAGTGCTCCACATTTGAGTTAAAAGGATTCAGATCATGCCGGCCCACAATTTCTCAAAAATACTTCACATTGGTTTAAGTTAAGTTTAACACTTAAAAATGCATGCACTTCACATTCAAGTTCAGCTTGCACAACCAACAGAAATTTGAAAAATAACATAAAATAATTCTTCACAAAGATAATCAATTGAAATTTTTTTTTTTGTGAATCAATTGTCAGGTAATTCACGATAGAGCGCATTTAAAAAACAAAGCAGATAAATCCTGGGCCACGAAGTCCTGAGCACATTTATAGAAAAGTACTTTTTTAAGGTGACTGTGAATGGCGGTGGTTGTCATCATCGTCATCAATGGGGCTCCTGTCCTCATCCCTAGGGCTAGGGCTGCGGCCATTAGCTTTAGGGCTATCATCATCGCGGTCCCTTGCAGGGCTTCTACTCTTACCTGTGCCCTCATCACTATCAAACCCATCCTGTTGCGTGGCCAACCTATTATCACCAGGAGAAGTGTCACCTCTCTTCTGTGGGCTGCTTTCGTCAGGTGATGGACTATGCTTCCTTGTCTTGGAGGGCTGAGGACTCCTTGATCTATCTTCAGGAACTGGGCTTCGTTCTCTTCTGACAGGGGATCTTGATCGGCTGCCATGAACAAAGGCACCCCCAAAGCTTAGGTTACAAGCAAATAATTAACAAAATAATGTCTACTGAAACAACAGCAGACAATCAATTCTATTGAAACCTTGCAGCATCACCGTATCAAAACCATACATACTAGAATCATGGACTAAAAGTATCCTACCTGTAGCTGCGGTCTGGGCTGTAACTCCTATCCCGGCTTCTGCCACGACGAGGAGAAGGTGACCTCACTGGTGAGCGTGAGTAACTTCGTCCATGTCTGCCGCTGAAACAAGTCAAATTAACATTATCAGTTTAAAGCTCGGAAAATCCATTAGAAAGCAAGAACTATGTGAGGAACAAATCAACCAAAATGCAGCAACAGTTTGGAAACACAACAACATGGCCTACCTCAATTTTTTGGGACTGTTCTTGCAGTTCTTTTCTATATGACCTCTCTCACCGCAGCGGTAACACTTGTTCTTCCAATCCCCAGCTTTGCAATCTCGAGCCCAATGGCCATCAATGCCACAGTTAAAGCAGCGTCCGGATCCAGGAGCAGGGCCTCGACCCAGATATTCACGGGAACCACGAGGACCCTGATTAATTAGATATGAGACATAAAACAAAATTAACAAGCAATAAAAACTACCAAAAAATTGCCCAGAATTCAAAGAACAATGGCAATAATATCAGAAATGCCAGGGTCCAGAAGCTACTATATCTATGTAAAAAGTATTTAAGTATAAAGATAGTACAGTAATAAATGCCACTCATTAAAAAGTAAACACACACAAACTGCTCTCACAAAATGCCAGTGGATTGTATCGCTATATGCAACCATAAGATCCAACACCCATGCAAATATATACATCGAGCAAACACATTCAGATGAAGTAACTGAACTCTTTACAGTCAGTCATAGACATCAACCCAGAACCTCTGTACCAAAGGTGTTACCCATTTTATATATAAATGACATAATAAAATTAAAAAATATTTTTTTATGTAGTCATGAAGGGAAGTAATTCTTACCCCTTTTGCAAATTCCACAATAATACGACTTCCATCAACGTCACGACCATCCAAGTTATACCTTGCATCGTCAGCATCTCGCGGATCGCTAAATTCCTGTCCAAAAGATGTAAGGAACAAGCCAGGGAAGTAACACAAAAATCTTACCATCACCTACAACTGAACTCCCCCACGCAGATACTAGAAGTCACCTTTGAGCAAAGGCATGAGGAGAAATCAAAGTCAAAAGAAACAAATAAACAAAGACAGAGAAAGGGTGACAACTTACAACAAAGGCGAAATCATGCTTCATATCAACATCTCGGACTCTGCGGAAATGGTTTCCAGAAACAGAAAGGCCATCATTACTTAACAACTGGAAGTGAAAACTTCGCCCCTCAAAGACGAACTAGACACCAGTTTGTGACTGTTGCCATTTCCATAAAAACACGCAATAACATTACAGAAAGAATCGCCAAAGTCAAAACTCCGTAAGAATTTCCACCAAGGCCACCCTCCCACCACAGACCTCCAAGGATTAGCCAAAACCCCCAGAAACCTTCAACAAGATTATTAAAGTTAAAATAAGACACCTAGGGGATTTGGTTCCCACGCATAACAACACGAACAACCAATATAAATCCAAGCGCAAAACAAAGCTTGGGAAAAACCTGTATAGCGTCCCCTATGTTTCAGGATAACACATGGACGACACCCCTCGCCAACTTATCACTAAATTAGTACCCTTGCCAATTCACAAAAACAGACGAATCAAGGAGACGTGACAAATTGTTTTCAATACATAAATTGGCAAAACTAAGCAACTTAAACAATAAAGTAATTCGATTGTCTAAGTCATTCATATAGAACTCACAAGAAAACATGTTGTAAAAGAACAAACAAGAAAAAGACACAAAAACAAATAAATATTTTGTTAATAGAAAGATAAGGATTTTGATTAAAGAAAGGGGAAATACCTTCCGTATCTGCTGAAGGCTCGCTCCAAATCACGGGAACGTGTCCTTGAAGACAAACGACCCACATAGAGGCGGGTATTATCATATTTATCACCATAGCGAGGCATTGTTGATTTCTTCTAGCTCTACAAAATAAACGACTGAAATTGCATAATTAAATGAGGAAGTGACCCCAAAGAGACCCATTTTCCACAATCGCAGTGAAAATAATAATCATATGAGCATAACAAATAATCAAAAAATAAAAATAAAGATCCTACACAACAATGGATACATGAATCCATACATGAATCCAATTTAAACCATGTAATCAATTTTATACACAAAGTCATCAATTTTATACACAGAGTCAGATAAAGCAAACAAATCGATAAATCATTTAAATGAGAATTCGTAAGAATAAAGGTTAAGTAAATTGATGACAAGAAACACACGATCACAACATCCGATAGAAACCAAAGCGAAAGAGTAAATCGAATTGAAATCGAAGGGAAACAAAAACAGAGAAGCTGTCGATACCTTCGAGTGGTTCCCTGTTTCTCCCTTGACCTAACCCTTTCAAAGTGGATCGGTTCCACCCTTCATGCGTTTCACTATTTATACAAAATCACAGCCACACACATCGATTGAAGTTTGTTTTTTGTTTTTGAAGAATTGGGCCGATAGTGGGCTTCTGATGGACCAGCCCGGTCCTTTTTAATTTTCGTTCTTTTCTTTTTTATGGATTTCTCCCTCCCTCCCCCTAGTAATTTCATAAATCTTCTATAGACTATTTGGAGTTCAGGACAGATCTAGTATTAAGGTTTTAAACCTCTTCTGAATATGATACTACATATTCTCACCTTACCTACTCAGCTTTTATACACCAACTGAGTCATTATCAATTAGTGTCCTTTTTGGTTTTCTTACGTCAGGATACGCTAGCACTTGAAAAGAAATTCTTATGTAGTAAAAGTATACATATACATATACATATACATATATAGAGAGAGGATATTGTTATTACACTGTTGTTACTACCAATTAGTGTCCTTTTTGATTTTTTTTACGTTATGATTTTATGTTTTTTGATTTTCTTATCCTCCTTCCGATTTTAGGTAAAATTCGAATTTTAACTACCATGGTTAAAATCAATGTCACTACCAGTTTATTCCACCGTTCGATCGATTATGTGGATCCAACGGTTATGTTTATATTCATCTTTGTATGGTTATGATTTCCCATATTTAATGCTTTTACGTTAATAGCCTATTTGGATACTCTCCTTAAAATAAGCTACTCTTATGAGCTTTTAGCTTTCAATTTTTTTCTTCATTATAAAAAAGAGTTTTTCATTATAAGAGCTTTTATAAAAAATCTGTTTGACCTAGCTTATACTTATAAATAGCTACTAACTGAAAAAATATAGGATCCAAACAAGCACTAAATGTGGGGAATCGTAACTATACAAAGGTGAAAAAAATATAAAGTATTAAATATAGGGTGAAGAAAGAAGGTTTTTTAAAAAGTGAAATCAGAACCGTTGGATCAACATAATCGATCTAACAGTAAAATAAACTGGTAGTGATATTGGTAGTAACATTAATTGATAGTAATAATATCATATCTCATATATATATATATATATATATATATATGGGTTTGGTGTTTGTTATTTTAAATGACACAAGTTATGTTATTTTAGGAGAGAGATAGACACAGAAAAACAGAAATCATGGGAAAGAGAAAGAGTATTTTTTTTTAATTTAAAATTCAAATTTTCTGTGTTTGTATATCTCTTAAAATGACATAATTTTCTGTCATTTAAAATAACAAACATTTTTCCCTATATATATTTCTAGGAAGAAATCTTTTGACTTCAGTGAAAATTAAGAAATTTTTTTTTCGTAAATAGATTAGGAAGTTTTACTTTCTATCTCAGCCGTTGATTTCCATTCATCTAACGGTTATAGTTCACTGGGTTATATCAATTAATTAATTATTAATTCTAAATAAATTACAACCGTTTGATAGACAAAAATGAACGGCTGAGATGGGAAATAAGACTTTTTATCTTAGTCTTATACTAGAGTACAAAAAGCTCTCCTCTTTCTCTCTCTATATATACATATATGATAAGTTTAAAAATATTAAAAATAGTGAACAATGAGGATAATATAAGTTTCTCATATGGGAAATAATAGCGGTTTAATAGGTATGAGAGAATCAAAATTTTAATGGAGTCTGATTGTGTTGGACCTCAATAAATGTTGAAGTTTTGGGATCCCTCCTCTCTTATTGAGAGACTACTTGCACAGGGACACAAAGGGATGGTAAGAAGAACTATGATACCTTCTTTTAAGGATCCCTCTAAGTAATGACTCTAGGTCTAGAGTCATTATGCACCCATAATTCTATGCCATCTAGTCATCTACGAAAATTTCTACAATACTACAGAGTACAGATGCACTCAATTTTTTATATATCTCTCCAATCAAAATCAAACAACAAATACCAATATTGACATGTAATAGAAAAAAGTGGGGTCTCAAATACATGTGTTAAATTTTAAATGGAAGTAGTATGTACTAGTAATATACCAAAGACGAGCTCGTCATCTACCTAGTTCTGTGGGTCCCACATAACATAAGGACCTTATAGTTTTATACAGTTATACTCATGAAGACATGATATAGGTGTGCAAGAGAACATGAAATGGACTAACATATTAAGTCAGAAATGGGCCTTCTGGAACGTCCTGGTGGTCGGTCCAAGTAGCAGCCAGTCCAGAAAAGTATGTGTGTTGTGTAAATTAAAATAATCATAAATTTATGAATAATTATTTTAAAAACACGAGGTATCCATTAATTTTTTAATTAAACTTTTTCTTTCTTCCTTTTTCTAAAATTCATCTCTTTATTTTGAGATTAGTGTTTGTCCTTTTAAAGGATACATAATTATATTATGTAGGAGAGAGAATGTTAAAACACACCAAAACGACGTAATTTCATTAAAAATGACACAAAGTTATGTCATTTAAAATGACACACACTAAACCCTATATAAGGAAAAATTGTTTGTAATTTTAAATGACACAAAGTTATGTCAATTTTAATAAAATTACGTCATTTTGGTGTGTTTTGTCATTTTTTCTAATTTATAAAATTAGAAATAAAAAGAAAATGGAGAAGACAGAATGTTAAAACACACCAAAACGACGTAGTTTCATTAAAAATGACATAATTTTGTGTCATTTAAAATTACAAATATTTTTCCCATATATTATTATAGTCAAAACTACTATATTTTATGGGGAGAGAAACAGAAGTTTTTTTTTAATTTAAATTTCAAATAAAAAATAATAATTTTAACTAAAATAACTCTACTTTATAAGGACATATATTTTTCTCCTTTTTTATAGTTGAATCAAAATGCCACTTTCATTTTCAGTTTGCGTTTCGTCTCTGTCTACATCCATTTGAAATTCACTCAAATGTATGATAATGATAGTGATCGATGGTAACATATGTATGATAACAATGTCCATCGGAAATGATTATGATATACTAAGTATTAATTAAATGATATTAATAATGATTACTTTTAGATATGTTTATCTATAAAGTATGGGTTTCATTGTATCATTTGCTACAAACAAGTGTGAGATTGGGGCTGAGAAGAAATTAAAAAGGAACAAAGTTGCTAAATTTTGGTATCAAGCATCGTAAAGTTCATTATTATTTATTCCAACAACAACAAAAAAATCAAGTTTTTGTTGCTTCAACTCTAACAAAGTGTTTAGACTTGAAAATTAATTTTGGTGAAAAACAACCAAAATTAATTCATGTTTTTGTTAAAATCGCTGTAGCTATGAACACAACAGGACTTTGGTATGGCAAATGCCAAACAAAATGCACACATAAGCCGAGGAACCTGCAAGGCAAAACAAGCGTTACTTTTGCCCGGCAGGTTCATCATGTCTGCTTCTAACTGTTCACTAATACTACATGTATTGATAACAGGAAAGATATTTATTTTACGATTTAGAATACTTGATCTCCCAATGGTGTTATGCTATGCTTACAGGACTTTTATCAAATGAAAATTATATTTGAACCCCAGGCAATAATTCACTTTAACAAAGGAGTTTACCAGAATTACGTTTAATTGGCTGCCACAATCTCACATGTATACATTGAACTACACATCAGTTTCTCATAATACTATTATGTTTATTCAGCAGTAACATCCAACTAAATTATGAGTCAAAGATAAATAATAGAGCTCCATATTATGAGTTAAAAAGATTCTAAACACGCTCGACTTAAATTTCTCACGATAATTCACATTGGTTTAAACAAGAATCTGAAAAATAACATACATAAAACCGTTCTTCATAACATAAACATGAATTTCACATAGGTTTCTATGGCAAATAGATGAAGTGCAATTGATAACCAAAGCAGATAAATCCTACCCCGCGTAATGAGTTCATTTCTCAGAAAAGTACACATTTTAAGGTGACTCGCTGCCTCTAGGTGAGTGGCGGTTGTTGTTATCATCATCATCATCAATGGGGCTCCTATCATCCTCCCTAGGGCTACGACTAGGGCTGCGGCCATTAATTTTAGGGCTATCATAGCCCATATCTTCAGGGTCCCTTGCAGGGCTTCTACTCTTTCCTCTAGGACCATCACTGTAGTCAGACCCATCAAGCCTATCATTACCAGATGTGTAACCTCTCTTCAGTGGGCTGCTCTGGTCAGGTGATGGACTATGCTTCCTTGTCTTGGAAGACTGAGCACTACTTTTGGGGAGAGGGCTTCTGTAGCGAGGAGACTCTGATCTATCTTCACGAACCGGACTTCTGATAGGGGATATTGATCGGCTGGCAAGGACAAAGGCACCAGAAGCTCTCAGCTTACAAGCAAAGAATTTACAGAACAATAATGTCTACCGAAACAGTAGCAGACAATTAATTCTATTGAAACCTTGTGGCATCACTGAATCAGAACCAAACATATTAGAATTACGGACTAAAAAAGCATCCTACCTGTAGCTGCGGTCTCGGCTGTAACTTCGATCCCGGCTTCTGCCACGGCGAGGTGACCGTGACCTGACTGGTGAGCGCGAATAACTATGTCCTCGTCTGCTCATGAACAAGTCAAACATCATCAGTTTAAACCTCAGAAAATCCATTAGAAACCAATGCAATAACCAGGTTAAGAGCAAATCAAAAACAATGCAGCACCAGTTTGGAAACTACCACATGGCCTACCTCAACTTTTTGGGACTGTTCTTGCAATTCCTTTCTATATGACCTCTCTCCCCACAGCGGTAACACTTGTTCTTCCAATCCCCAGCTTTACAATCTCGAGCCCAATGGCCATCAATGCCACAGTTAAAGCAGCGTCCAGATCCAGGAGGAGGACCCCGACCCATATATTCCCGGGAACCACGAGGAACCTGATTAATAGGAAATCACACAATAAAACAAAAACAAATTACCAAGCAATTAAAAGCTAACAAAAAATGCTCACAAGTCTAAGAACAATGGCAGTAATATTAGAAAAGCCAGGGTCCAGAATGTAAAACGTATTTAACCAAATGGCGCAGTAATAAATGCAAACCAAAATAAAGCAAACATAAGAGACAGCCTCTGCAATTATATAAAAAAAAAATTAAAAAATAAGAAATTAATGTCACAAAAAAAGGTAAAGAGAAAAAAGAGTGGAAACAATATATGTGAGAATTAAGGAGATTACGATAAAAAAAAAGTTGCACGATAGAAATGACAAAAATACAAACTGTTGTTGCAAAAAGCCAATGGATTCATATGCAATCTGCAACAATAAGATAAAGCACCATTGCAAATGTATACATTGAGCAAGCTAGCACTATCGGACGAAATAACTGAACTCTTTTAAAGGCATATGTATAACAAAACATCTGTACCAAAACAAACATCCCCTTCATATTTTTTTCCTTCAAAAAATCTCATGTAGAGAAACCTTGTAAGGATGAATTTCCTACCCCTTTTGCAAATTCCACAGCAATGCGACTTCCATCAACGTCACGACCATCCAAGTTATATCTTGCATCATCAGCATCTCGAGGATCGCTAAATTCCTGTCCACAAGATGTAAGGAACAAGCCAGTAAAGCAACAAAAATCTTACCATTATCTACAACTGAATACACCCAAGCAGATACTAGGAGCCACCTTTGAGCAAAGGCATGAGGGAAAATCAAAGTCAAAAGAAATAAATAAACAAAGACAGAGAAAGGATGACAACTTACAACAAAGGCGAAATCATGCTTCATATCCACATCTCGAACTCTGCGTAAATGGTTTCCAGAAACAGTAAGGCCATCATTACTTAACTACGGGAAGTGCATGATACTTCGGCCCTCAAAAACGAACTAAACACCAGTTTGTGATTGTTGCCATTTCCATAAAAACACGCAATAACATTACAGAAAGAATCGCCAAAGTCAACACTCAGGCAGGAATTTCCACCAATTCCACCAAGGCCACCCTCCCACCACAGACCTCCAAGGATTAGCCAAAACCCCCAGAAACCTTCAACAAGATTATTCAAGTCAAAACATGACACCTAGGGGATATGGTTCCCACGCATTAACATGTCGAATAACCAATATAAATCCAAGCGCAAAACAAAGCTTGGGAAAAACCTGTATATTATCCCCTAAGTTTCAGCAAAACACATGGACGACACCCCACACAACTTATAACTAGTTTAGCTACCTTGCCAATTACAAAACAGATGAATGACAATTAGTTTTCCATACATAAATTGGCACGAACTAAGCAACTTAGACCATAAAGTGACTTGCCAGCCACCAGAAAGAAAGGATTGACTCGTACAAATAAAGTCATTCAATCAATAGAATTCACAAGCAAACATGGAAAAGATGCAAAAACAAACAACTATGAAGAGCGTAGCATTCAAATTACAACTTTACGGAAGAGGCTAAGATTGTACGGGGCAATAGCTATGACTAAGATCTCTACATAGTTTATTGATGGAAAGATAAGGATTTCAAAAGTAAAAGGGGAATTACCTTCCATATCTGCTGAAGACTCGCTCCAGATCACGAGAACGTGTCCTTGAAGACAACCGACCCACATAGAGGCGGGTGTTATCATATTTATCACCGTAGCGAGGCATTGTTGATTTCTTCTAACTCTGCAAAATAACTGAAATTAAGTAATTAACTGAGGAAGAGATTACACAGGGACCCCTTCTCTCAACGTCAATGAACAAATAATCGGATTTCTCGATAATGAATAAAAGGGAAACATTATATCCAATTTCAACCTACGTAATCAATTTTGAATTTTAAACCCAAACTCGATGAATTATCGAAGTGGGAATTGATAATATTAAAGCGCAAGTGAATTGAAACCAGAAAGATCGAAAATTGAAAAGCGAAAATCCAAATCAAATTGAATAGGAAGCAGAATCGAAGGGAGGAGGGAAATAAGAGAATACGAACCTCCGAGTACGTTGCTGTTTCTCCCTAAACCTAACCCTTTCGAAGTGCATCTGCTTCTCACCATGTGTTTCACAATTTATACAAGAGCACTGCCACGGTTCGCCAATGTTTTTTTTTTTCTCTCTTTTCAAAAAAAAAATGAAATTGGGCCAACAGTGGGCTTCTGATGGGCTCAGCCCTGTATTCTGATAATCTAATAGTTAAAGCCAATAAATTCTCGAAACGGCCTATTTCATACTTATTCAAATAAGAGACACGCACATAATAATCTAATCTAATATTTAACAAAATACTAAAATGTCTATTATACGGAATTGGAAATTACATTATTCAGTTTTCTGAGTATGAGTAATGCTAACCCACATTCACTCCTCTGCAGATATTGTTATACATTTATATATATTTTTTTATGTATGATCATGATATGTTGAAGAATCATAACTATATAAAGGTAAATCGATGATAATAAGATAAGAAAAAAAATTAGAATTGGTAGTTACAAAAACATCACCATTGATTTATCTTTTTATAATTAAATTTATTCACATAATATTATCATATTAAATAAAATATGAGAAGATACATTTTCGTTTGATCACAGTTAACCATGATTAATGTTTTCCATATTTACATAAAGATTTTAGTACACGACTCTATGGGCAAGAGGTGTAAAGCATAAGGATGTTTGAGTGTCAATTTTCTCCACACAATATGACATCACATCAGCCTCTCACCCATCCATTCTTTCATTTTTCTAAATTTATCTTTTTAACATATTATTTTTATTACATGTTTATGGGAAAAGTGTTTGTTATTTTAAATGATATAAAATTTTGTCATTTTAAGAGAGATAGATACAAAATAATATTTTATTTAAAATTTAAATTAAAAAAAATTACTCACTTTCTCTCTCTCATGATTTCTATTTTTTGTGTCTATCTTCTCCTAAAATGACATAACTTATGTCATTTAAAATGACAAACACTAAACCCTTTATATCTCTTTTCAAAATAATTAAATACAGAAGTACGTTTTAATACACTTTTTTCTACATTTATTTTTGTAAATAGAAAGTATGTAAAAAAAAAAAAAAAACTGTGTGGATTATAATACGCAAATATCAAAATTTATCAGATATTTGTTTGCATGCATATTTCTTGAGTAACCTTTTGTCCTTTCATCTTTGTTATATTTGGCATAGAAAAAGTCAAGATTTTCAGCTAAGTAATAATTTGTTACCCAACATTTCATGCCAATTACGCCATCTTAACCGGTCACTAAAAGATTTTGATGAAACAAAATAGGAATGGTGCTAATATTTAAATAAAACAAATTTATTAACTAGAAGTGGTTGAAGTAAATTCATTAAAGTACTGCTAATATCCAATTTCTAGAAGTTATATGTTCAAATTTTTATGCCATCATTTTATTAAAAAAATATCTAAACAGAACAATTAAAAGTGTGTGTCTATATATATATATATATATATATATATAGGTTAGGATCATTTTACATCAGTGTAAGTTATATTCTCAATCTTGTCCGCTGATCCCGTTTATATCTAAGGACTCAAATTTTTTAATAATGTGAGCCATTGAAAACAAGTTGATCAATGGTCAAGATTGAATGTAAGACTTCTAACTCTTACGTACGTCGATATAAGAATATCATGCTCCAATATATATATTATTCATATAACTAGAGTACATTGTAATCTTAAATAACTATATGATTGAAATAAATATATTTTTACTTATTTGCTTTAAAGATAGGTTTAACTCTTTTCCTCTCACTGCCTCTACTTTTTGTTCATTAGTTTTATTTATCTCTACTGGCATTTCTAGATATCTAATTAAACTGTTTCTTTTCCCCTTTACCACTTCAATTATATTTTTTTCAATCTTCCGTCAACAGAACAAAAATTATATAATTTTTTTATGAAATTTTTGGTAGTTGTATTTTATGTGTAACTTATTAAAAGTGTGTTAAGTTTTCGGTTAGATATGCAAACCATAGATAACTTTTGACATGTTTTGTATAACTTCCTGGGTCAAAGTTGTAACCCTTTTACACAAAACCAATTGATTGAAGTTATTTTCCCAAATTCCCATAGAATTGTTTTTATTTTTTTCGCTCCCATGGCTTGTAATACGACATTTGTGCTTTCCTCGATGTTTGTTGGGATCCGCACAAGTTCGATGCTTGTTAGCCATAGTTATCTAGTTCATCACTCTTGTATGGTTTGAATTTCAAGGGATGGTCCCATTCCATTATTGAGACGAATGTGGTAAAGTATGAACGACTTAACCAAAAAGCTACCACTAACTTATTCCCTAAGTCAACTCATTGTTTCAAGGCATGGATTACCAATTCAGTAAAAACAATAAAAGAATATGAAAAATATTTCTGTTTTTTCCTTTCCAATTTTATTTCCTCCCACACTCGTATAAAAAAGAGTGAATTTTATTATAAGGAAAAGAGAGAGAAACAATAGTGAAATTTACTCACTTTTATGTATGGTATAAAAAAATTCTACACCAAAAACAAAAATATTAAACTCAAACAAAAAAATGTGTTAATCATAATTTTCAGATGAAGCCGTCAAATTTAAAATTAGTGCCAAAAGTATTTAGTTTAGTTTTATAATGTAACGAAATATGATAAAATTATAAATAATAAAGTAAAAGAAGGAATAAGAAATTTGAGTCTCCTTAGCAATCAAAAAAATTTATTTATTGTAATTTAATTAAATAATTACATAAACATGACAGTTTGGAGAATATTTACGCATCTATTGCACACTGTTACGTCCCACTGGGCGTCTCTCATTAGGGGAAGACGCCCAAATGGGGCGTCTCTCAAGAGGTGGTGACACGTGTCACTTGTTTTTCCAAAAAAAAAAAAAAATTAATTATAAAACTTCTAAAGGCCATAACTTTTGACTCGAGTATCCAAATCAGGTAATTCTTTTTTTGATTCCACATAACTTTTCGAGATCTACGCAATGACATCTCATTTGATATATTTTATTTCTCACCAACATAATTTAAAAGTAAATCAGGTAATCTTTCTTCCTTAGATATTTAGAATATTTATTTAATTATTTCCTTTAGTAATACAGATTTTTCAAATTGATTTTTGAGTTTAAATCACAAATCAAATCTTTATTTTGTTTTCCTTATTAATAATAATTGTTACTTTTAATTTAAATCACAAACCAATCACAAACAAATCACAAATCTGAGTTTAAAAATGTGACACGTGTCAACACTTGTCAAAACCTAACACATCACCAATCACGTCTAAATTGGGTTTCAATCAAGAGGAAATCACGTCTAATTTAGGCAATTATTTTTGAAAAATATTCATAAGCCATCATTAATTTCAGACCACGAATAATAACCCAGAAGCTTATAGCATTAATCATTGATATTAAAAATAATATCCTTCTTCCTTAGAAATTTAGAATATTTATTTAATTATTTTCTTTATTTATACATATTTTTCAAATTGATTTTTTAGTTTAAATCACAAATCAAATCTTTATTTTGTTTTCCTTATTAATAATAATTTTTTTTTATTTTGAATTTAAATCACAAACCAAAATTTTGTTATAATAAATAAAATTATTATAAAAAAATTTAAATCACAAATCAAAATTTTTATTTATTTTTTTTATATTAAATCACAAATCCAGAACTCAGAGGCTTCTGGGTTTAGCCGCTCTTATAATATCATTCTTGCAAATTAAAATTGTGTTTGTGAGAAATAAAATATGTAAAATGAGATGTCGTTGCGTAGATCTCGAAAAGTTATGTGGAATCAAAAAAAGAATTACCTGATTTGGATACTCGAGTCAAAAGTTATGGCCTTTAGAAGTTTTATGATTAAATTAATTTTTTTTTTTGAAAAAACAAGTGACACGTGTCACCACCTCATGAGAGACGCCCTATTTGGACGTCTTCCTCTTCATGAGAGACGCCCTAGTGGGGCGTCACAGTGTGCAATAGATACGTAAATATTTTCCAAACTGTGATATTTGCGTAATTATTTAATTAAATTGCAATAAATAATTTTTTTTGCCCTCCTTAGCAAAATCAATTGATTCAATTTTCATCTTACTGTAATTGAAGCATTATATAATCAATTAAAAAAGAGTTGCATTAAAACCCTAAACACATACAACTTGATCCAAGTTGATTGGATAGGTTTTTGTAATGGAATCAATTACACTACCACACATAATTGTATTAGCGAAATGATGATCCTAATGTCGTTGACATGTGTGTTATCTAGGATGGATATAGGTGGGTACTTATAAGGCACTTTGATACTTAAATCAGTATTTGAACTTAAGTAATTTGAAAAAATATGATCGTACATAAAACTTGAGCCTCTCGTTTCTAACTTGTTTGTTGCCTTGTTATGCTACCTTATTATGGTAGCATGTCTATAAATATTGTAGATTACAATGACTTTGTCCGCCAATCTCGCATCTGAGATATCTTTTGATAATGTTTAGTCTTGTTGGAATTTTGTGTCTATTCTTTAGTTATTTAGCTATTAAGGAGGTTTATGAGCCCTTAGCTGATGCAATTATAACTATGCGTCATAAGATTTGTGTGTATGAGTTTCTTTAATAATTAAATTTTCATCTTTGCCCGTTTTGGACTGATCCTTCATGCTGCTTAGTATGAGTCTAGATCAAAATATATAACACATAAAATCTTACAAATTAAGAAAATTAAAATCTGAAAGTAGCATAGAAAATATAAAAACAATAATAAGATATTAAATAATAATTATCCAAGTGAATAAAACACACAAATAGCACAAATTTCGGATCTTTTTCAATGGACATTTGGTGGGGAACAAAATACAAGGTAGTTAAAAAAAAAATACTACTATCTTATCACTATATTTTATAGAATAATTATGTGCAAATCCTGTAGGATTACTCAGAAAGAAAAACTCCACGTATGAATGTTTACATCATTCACTAACTAAAACCTTTCTGTTTTACGCAATGCAAAGCTTTTTGGGTTTTCTACATTATTTTAGAAAAACATACTGAAATTAAACTATTTGATTAATAGAGTAGCAACTTTAATGCGAAAGTAATCGACGGATGTTTTTTCCTCCATAACTCCCATGATGCTTATTAATTTATTATTATTTTATACGCGAATGACTATTTTTTTGCCCCCGTCTATTGATAGCCAAATAAAAGTTATGACTCTTGGATTTGTGATTTTTAATTTTTAACCTCTTTGAGACAGAATGTGATAGAATATATGTGACTTTTTTTTTTTTTTTTGATAACAAGAATATATGTGACTTAACAAAAAGCACAACTAACTTATTCCATAAGTTTAATCATCTCATTATTAATTTCTGAAGATGCGCTGTGTCTCTGCCTCGTATTATCTCACAAATATTTATTTAATTTTATTTCTGTTCATTTTACTGACTGACCTTAGGATAAAATCCAAACTACGATCAGTTCGATTTTTCCCTTTATATTAATTGCAGTAATTAATGAAAATTAACATTAAAAAAATACGTATACCAAAAAAAAAAAAAAAAAAAAAAACAGCAGTACCAATATTCTCTCACACAAGAACCTAATTAGTTTACCCAAAACAGTGACCTTAATTAATAATCCACAATGATAAATTAAGCTATTGGTATTTTTCATTGTTGCACTGTTGATATTGCTTATTATGGATGGAGATGAAGAAGGATAGAGAAATCTTGCTACCGCCTCTTGTTCTTGCTCCCAAAGTGCAAGGTTAAATAAAAGAGGAAGCGAAAGAAGAAGCCCCAAGCAATGGTGATCAACAAGCAGTTCCATTTGCTGAGCTGCGTGACCCCCTGTTGCCTCAGTATATCCACTCCCGTGACGACGCACGTGGAGCTCGTGATGTTAATCCCCAACGTGCTGCTCATGCTCTTCAGCAACTCCACCTTCAGCTCCGCCGGCACATCCACCAACGGTGTGTTGTCAAACATCTGAATCCCCCTCACGAAACACCTCGGAGGCCGAACATCGAACTCGTTCTGCAAAACCCCCTCGTAAGGGTACTTCACCAACGAAAGGTAGTGAAACCATATCCAATAAGGAGGGATCCTGTCTCTGCTTATGAAGAACCCACTGAAGAGGAGAAAGTAAGCCAAGATAGCAACCACCACCGTGAAACCAAGCATCACGTGAGACACGACCCCAGAGAGGAACGTCACGAAGGAGCTACCCGCCCAGAAGGAAGCTACGATGGTGAAGAAGTAGAACAGGAAGCCGGAAGTTCCGCCGGCGAGCCCCACCGCCCAGAAGGTGGTGGCGGCGAAGGCGAGGGAGAGGAAGATGAGTGAAGGGAGAGAGATGATGGAGTGTGCGAGAACATAGGAAGAGCGACGATAGGCATTGTAAGCGGTTTCTCTCATGAAGATGTATCGCTCTTGGAGGAAGACAGGGATGGCTTCTGCACACGTGTAGAAGGTTGTTGACATGGCAAAAGCGAAGAACCCTAAACGTTCTTGAACACCTTTGGGGGAATCATCAAGGTGAAAAAAGATAGTGGCCAGGATCCCTCCGGTTACCATAACTGCACCCAAACGGATTCCGAATAATTCGGGCATTCTCCTTGAGTTAGTTAGAGACCGTTTTGCTATAACCGCCATTTCGATCCAAAAAGGATTGGCGAAGGTGGGAACTGACGACGACGTCGTTGAGTCTTTGTTGTTATTGTTAGCGCCGGACACTAATTTCCCCCTTGAAATGCTTGCGCTGATGGCGTCTTTCAGTGAGAGCTTTGAGCCGTTGGTGGTTTTTTGAGAAGAGGGTTTGTTTTTCAACTGCCATGACTTGTTGAACTCGACTAGGCTTTTGGTCCCGTCGGGTGATTCTTCCAGCTGGCGGATTAGGTCTAATGCGAATTCTGTTCGGTTCTCGTTTTCCGGTATGGGGTGTCCGAACTCCGAGAAGAAGACGGGGACTGTCGCCGGAGAGCCGCTGAAGACGGTTTGGCCGTGGGAGAGGAAGATCAAGCGGTCCAGTAAGCCGAGGATTCTGTAGCTGGGTTGGTGTATGGACATGATCACGATGCTACCGCTCTGAGCTATTCGCTGCAGCACCTTCACCACCATGAAGGCGCTGGTGGAGTCCAGCCCGGAGGTTGGTTCGTCCAGGAACAACACGATCGGGTCGTGGATGATGTCGATTCCGATCGAGACGCGGCGGCGTTCTCCGCCGGAGACGCCGCGGTGACCTTCGTCGCCGATGACAGTTTTCGCGGCGTTGCGGAGGCCGAGCTGGTCGATGAGGGCTTGGACTCGAGCCTTCTTCTTGGATTTGGAGAGTGAACGAGGGAGCCTGAACTCGGCGGAGAACATGAGGGTTTCCTCTACGGTGAGCATGGGGAAGAGGAGATCGTCTTGCATGACGTAAGCTGATATCACCTTCAGGAGACTCGATTCCACAACGTCGCCGTTTAAGGTCATGGTCCCTTTGAGGCTCTCCTTCGAAATCCGGTACGCGAGCGCGTCGATCAGCGTCGACTTGCCTGAGCCGCTGGCTCCCAGAACGGCCATGATCTCGCCGTCCCTGGCCTCGCCGGAGATATCGTTGAGAAGAATCTTGGTGTCGTTGGTTTTGGTTTCGGCCTCCTCGTTTGCCGCCGGGGAGTTCGGGTTGGTGGCGTTGGTAGAGGAAAAGCAGGGAGAGAGGGTCATCTTGCTGCGGAGCCTGACGCTGTAAGTTAAGTTGTTGAAGGAAAGAACAAAAGGGTGAGAGGAGGTGGAGGAAGAGGAGAGGTCGAGAACATGGTGGGGTGCAACAACAGTTTTGTCGTCGGAGTTGTCGTTTTGAGCATCTTCCACGCGTTTGAGGAGCTCGCCGAGGGTGGGAGAGAGATTGGTTTTGGTTATGTTTCTGGATGGATAGGGGTGTTGAACCAGCTCCATGGATTGGTCGAAGAAAGGGAGCCTGTCGTCGGCGACGGGGGGGTTGGGTGGTGGGGGTTGTGTTCGGCGTGACATTCGTGTAGTTGTTGGGGTTTATAATTACTCAACACAACACAAGTAAGAGTTCAAACCGGAGAATTGGGTGGTTTTATAAGGAGCCCTAGCTAGGAGAAGTGCATGGCATGGCATGGGTCATTCATGGGACCGCTTGAGATGACTCAATTTATGTAAAGTGAGGGAGTGGTGTTTGGTAATTAATTAGAGTGTCCTATTCCAACTCCAAAATTTGCTTAATTCAACTTGAATTAGCATGTGCAGGTGAGTGGAGTTCTTAAATTTGCTAGCTAAGCTCTGTGACTCTTATACTTGTCTTAATTGCGAGAATTGACGTATAGGGGCAGGCCCACCAGCTTGGAAGGAGCTTGGTGAGGTGTCAATGTCAAGAAAAAATCTACAATGAATCCAATAATACTTTTTCTTCTTCTTGTTAACAAAATCGCTAATTGGATACTTGAGTTGTTGTTGCACTTTAGTTTTTATTTTGAAAGCGTAGAGCGACGAAGTCTCAACCAAAAAAGTTAATGAGATCCAATTCCATGCACAGTTGAGGAGATGACCAATCATTTACATATAAATTTTTAAAAGCTCGTCCGATATGTTGGTTGCAGCAAATTGTAATCTTATAGTCTAAGTGCTCAAACATATACTGCGTGCGGTCAATTGCTTAAAATTAGTTTATTGTTTGTTAAATGTATGTTTTGGACTCAGCAGACTCCGCTGCATAAAAAGAGGTCACCAAACACTTCGTATACGCCTTCGGCACGCATTTCATTCTCCACGAAACCAAGTTGATTCGTGGCTGACCCTTATTGGATGAAAATTTTCTGATTGCTTTCCCCAATGTTTTGAAACAACATACATATAGTTTAGGTGTGGGTGTTATATCTAATGTAGAGTGGAAGCGCTGTATCTACCATCTACTTAAGTAGTCTTTGTAAGATAGAGAAAAACAGTGTTCTAAAGAGTTTTTTTTATTTTTTTTATTTGTTCAGGCAAAATTTTCTTTTGGAGGCAGACGCAGTATTAATGTTTTAATATAGCTGAGCCTAAAAATTTGACCTTTTTTTTTATAATATAATATTAATAATAATATTTCATGATTACTTACGGGGTTGTTCTTAATTTTCACTCCATACTTATGAATCATAGCAAGTGTATAGGTTTTTCCACTGAACTTACGTTATATGAACCCGTACCCAACAATAATCATACATGTTAAGGTACAGACGAAAGAATCTTTCATGCGAGATGAGACTTACCAGCGAAGTGATTAAGATTAAGATATCTCCGTTGTCGGGTCCTATAATAACCCCTCCATTTGCTGACAGACAAGATTATTGTAGTTTGGCGTTTTACATCTCTTAAAAGGCTAATCCAGCTAGGTCCAAAATGAGCCCAACTGGACCGGAATTCCATTATAGGTAAGCAAATCATAAAGAACCCAATAGTCAAAAAGATTAGCATGGAGCACAAGGGTCATGATCGAACGAACTAACCATATGTCATCCTTTTCTTTTGGCAGTTTAATGTTGTTAGTTGCCCGTCTCAATCTCGTGAATAATTATTTATTTATTTATTTATTTTAAAAAAGATGGGGCGTTCATCGTTTATGAAAACAAGTATGGAAACCAAAAGCTCAGTTTCTATTTGATTACAACCCATGAGAATATGCTTTCTTCCCATGCCCAATGGGAATAGTTAGTACAGAGGCAACAATATTATTAACTTATTATTAGGAGTAAATTGTGCTCAAACAGGTTCAGAGGCACATCAAAATGTATCCTATACAGATTCCGGCGCAGCCATCCGATTTCATTCCCTCCCATTTGTGCAGCGATGACGAACTCTACTGTGTTCTAATTGCCTCGAATTGCCCTTTCATCAAATCCAATATAAAGACTAACATGCTGGCTAATGCTAGTATGCTACACATCTACAGAAAGCATTAACAGCCATGTCGAACATGCAACAAGATCAAAGAAAGGGAACAAGAGTCTACAGAATCAAAGACTAAGTTAAACTCTCGGTAAGTTTGCCTACTCCCTACTCCCAACATTTTCTCCAAAATAAATTCCCGGAGCTCCATTACCACCATGCATCAAGGACAACTACAATGGAATTCGTTTTCACGTTCCAATTTTAGGGTTGATAAGGACTTCGTCTGTCTTAGCAAATGACCCAAACAAACAAGCAACTAGAAGCTGTCTACTTTTTCAGGAAGACAAACGGAAAAAAGAAATCAAGGTTTTTCCCTTTCTTGTTTAAAATCATTGAAAGTTAAAAGAACAAGGGCAAAAAGGATAACGAAAGATTAAAATAAGTATCATATAGTGCACCCAATGCAAGCCCAGCCACCCCTCATTATAAAATGGGATGAAGACTACAGAGACACCTAAAATAGTACTAACAAAAAATTAATTGCAGTAGAGGTCGCCTCTTCAGTCTCAAGGATAACAACTTCCAAACCGCTGAAGGATTGAGCAACTTTTCTAAAGACTACAGTGAGTTGCCTACTCTGACTTTTGCTTTGATCTTCTTGGACTTGATGCTTGAGACGCACTTGTACACCTCCCCACGAATTTCAGAATCTCGTCAACTAGAATGACAGGTAATGCAACGGCCAAAACCAAAAGCCACTCATTGAAGCTCAGGGGCACGATACCAAATACTTGTGCTAAGAATGGCACGTACAAGATCAAAAAGTGCAAACCAAATGACACAGACATTGCCAAAAGAAGCCAAGGGTTGACCCAAGGGGGCATTGTCAAAAGACTTCCATCTTCAGACAGGGCATTGAGAGAGTTGAACATTTCAATGGATACCAACACAGAGAGGGACAGTGTCATAGCCTTCACTTTACCAGTGTGGAAGTAGTCACAGGGGTCAGCATCAAAAGAGAGAGTTCTAGCACCAGCGGTGAAGGGAGATGCAGTGAAGTTCTTCCACGAGGAGCATTGACCCCAGTTGGAAAGTTGGGAGTAAGTGACGAGAGTATGCCCATCCCCGCTAAGGTCAATACCCAAGAAGGAGCCATGTGTATACCATATGATGAATACACCAACTGTAGCTAATCCAACATAAATCCCAATAATCTGTGAAGTATATAGGGAGAAGATCAGAGATAAGTAATCAAGACATATTATCACCAATTGAAACATAATTGATAATACAGCCCAACAAAAATTACCAGATAGCGGACTAGAATCCACAAACTAATTAGTGAGTCATCACTGCGACGAGGAGGCTTCTTCATTATATCCTTATCTGGAGGATTAAATCCCAAAGCTGTAGCAGGGGGTCCATCAGTGACAAGATTAACCCACAGAAGCTGAACAGGTATCAATCCTTCAGGAATACCGAGCGCAGCTGTTAGAAAAATAGAAGCAACCTCACCAATGTTCGAAGAGATCATGTACCTGCGAAATTAATTTTCAGTCACAAGATATTAACTATAACTTTTATCATTAGAGAAGGTTCTTAAAATAGGAGTATATATATTAATATGTAGATGGGAAACCATGCAACCTCACCAGATTTTGATTGCTGTACAGTTAAAGAAAATTCTGAGGTATGCACTTTAGGATTGTTAAAAACAAGACCTATACAGCAAAATCTCTCTGTAGTTTGTACATTAGTTGCAGCAAATTAGGACCTTCTCCAGTTACTAAAGCCAAAAATAGATCAGCATTGCTCCAGAATCCAGGTTAAACCAAACTAATTAAGACCTGCTAATCAAAAACTACAGCCACCCCTCCCTTCAAACACTTTTGAGGATACTATCTAGAACTTGCAGTTCTATCTCATCCTCCATACTTTCCTTTTTTTATTTTCTTTGCTTAGTACTCCTAATAAAAATTCCAAGGTCAGAACTGAATGCATATCTCGTGGCCTATTAGGTATCTTAAACTGAAACAGTATTATTTTATGTATAAACTGTCTACATAAGAGCTCTGAAACAGAACATCAACAAGATATCAGACCAGAGACTGTACACATTAACAAAAATAAGGAAATACTGCAGGGTAAAAAAAAGAACACTGCAGGAATATAGAAGGCCCACAATACCCCTTATACTCCCCTCTCAACTGAATTATCCTCATCATGAATATTCATGATTTCCCTGTTCCTTCCCTCAGACCCCCAAGGCTTGATCCCCTGCTTCTCAACTTAATCCTCCAACAGTATACCTTAGTTATGAGGGGTCTATCACAGCATCATTATTTCAAGATAGATAACTACAGCCAACATAGACATAGTTCATTCTTATCACAATATCTTAAAGGAAACCTAATTGTAAAGAAAAGAGTAAAACAAAACTGATGGGCTATAAAAAGTGGGCCAAAGTCCAGCCATGGAAAGGAGCACATTAAAGTTAGTGCGGGAGGGAATGAGTGAGAGTAGTTAGAAGTGAGAGAAAATGTCCCTAAGAGATTAGGGACATGTAGGATATTATAGGTATTTGACGTTGTAAAGTTTTTCATGGAAAATCTCATATAACAGGAGAGTTGGGTAATTGGAGAAGCTGGTGGCAGTCCTCTCAGTAATTTTAGTTGCAGTTGCATTCCTGTAAGGCTGTTTTCAGCCATTAGAGTCTCTCTATTGCTTTAATTTGGTGGCTGTAAGGAGCTTTGTCTCCAACTTTTTCCATTAATTCAGTCGTATTTCAATTTGGCTTCCATCAGAAACTCAATGTCCAAGGCATTTATCCTATTTTTATTTTTTTGAAGTATAAACTAAACAAAGATTGAAACAGAAAGTACTATAGGAAATTACCCTTTATTTGCAATAATGGTTTATGGAGATAACCGGTGGTCATTACATTAGACATTATGTGTCAATTGCCAATCAAAACAAAGATCATTGATGGAGCAAGAGCCTATTGTAAGGTAACCACATCATCTCATGAGTGAATAAGAAATATAAAGATAAATGGATTCACCTGATAAAAGCCTTCATATTATTGTAGATAGATCTACCCTCACCAACAGCAGCAACAATTGAACTAAAATTATCATCTGCCAACACCATATCTGAAGCTTCCTTTGCCACCTAGTTTGGAATAGCATAAAATAAAAGAGATGAGTTGCCAGATAGAAAATAACAATATTAACTGGTGTTCTTTAATCTAACTTATTTCAACCATCAGTCAGCTGAGACCACATCTAACAAATTAGATTAGTATCAAACAACTTCATCAGACTCAAAAACCCATACGTTTTCAAGATTACCATCTTCAATTATAAAGCCCACATTAGTCAGTAATATTTACTTATTTGTTGTACCAGAAGCCACAACATGATCATAGTAAAAACAAAATACCTCTGTCCCTGCAATGCCCATTGCAACACCAATGTCTGCAAGCTTCAAGGCAGGTGCATCATTAACACCATCCCCAGTCATGGCTACCACTTCCCCTTCCTCTTTTAGCAGCCTCACAATGTCTTGCTTGTGCCTAGGTTCAGCCCTCGAAAATAAAAGCCCGCCACGCTGCTTCAGATAGGCTTTTTTATCACGCAGTTCCATAAAATCTTTACCAGTTAAACTTTTCGAACTAATGTCTTCATTGCGTTCAAATACACCTATATCACGGCATATAGCTTCAGCAGTGTTCTTGTTGTCTCCAGTTATAACCATAACACGAACTCCAGCTGCTCTGCAGTCCTCAATTGCTTGGTATACCTCCTCCCTAGGAGGATCCTAAACAAAATTCAGCATTTAATTTCACAAAGTTAACACACCAATTAGATATGACGAAAGTGAGAAAGCACAAAATGTAAAACGAAAAGCTCAAAACGTACCCTCAACCCAACCAAGCCAACAAAAATAAGTTCACTTTCAATTGATGAATAGTTGGAGGGATTAAGCAAAAGCTGGTGAGCTGGATGATCGTCATTACCACTGTAGTTTTCAAATGCACTTAGCTCATCCTTGTACGCAAATCCCAAACATCGTAAAGCACTAGTTGACATTTCATGAAGAGCTTGCAAAATGAGATTCCTAGCATTATTGTCCAGTTTCACAATGGAACCATCACGCAACTGAATTTTAGAGCTTCTTTCCAACACATTTTCCACAGCACCCTATATCAAATATGAGGGCCAAATGTCAGTTAAAAATATTTCCCATCAGTAAAGAAAAAGGAAACCAGAAGTAGAAAGAACAAAAGCATAAGTGGGCTCATGTATAAACTCTGTAACCTAAACTGTCCTAAGAATATGCTTATGGAGGTAAAATGTGAAGGTAATTGAGAAGAAGAATGGGCTGGTCATAGGCAACGTTATAACCTTGATCTGAGGGAAGAATAAAAAGACCTTACTCAAATAAAAATGGGCAGAAATTTGCTTCGAGAGAAACAAGTTGTATTTAATTTATTTTACAGCAAAAGCAAAACCAACACCCCATTAAGCCTTGTATGCAGGCTTATCTTTGCATAATTGAAAAGAGATGGTCTCCTGGATTAAAACCCATAGGTCACAAAGGAACAGCGTAACCGCTGCTCCGGGTTGCCCCTTTTGTATTTTACAGCAAAACACATGTTAAAAGTCCTATACACTTCCTCATTAAGCAGTATTGCATCTCTGCCAATTGTAATTCTGTGATTACAAAATAAGTGCATAGTAGGACAAAACTGAAAAAGATTCGAACTAAAGATTTCAAGTAGGAAAAAAGATGAGAGACAGAGATAATACCTTAACCAGAAGAAACCTTTTCCCTAGACCAGAGTCCACAATAACACCCATAGACTTCCGATCACGGTCAAACTCAAGAGTAGCAATCCGTCGGTCATGTTCATTCCACCATTCACAACAGCCTATATTAAAATTTGAATGTAAAACAAGTTAAGTTCATTTTTGGAATCTGTTTCATTATTAACTCAATTCACATTGCAGCCAAGCTTGTTGGTCTCAAATACTTAGTCTTTTCTGCCAAGTTCTGTATTCATTACCTCAAAAAAACAAAACAGAACAAAAGCACTTAGAGTAAGTAAGAGGCAGCAGCCTGTTAATCAAATAAATGCTTTACAAATTGTTTTAAGCCTTTAACTAGAGCATAACAATCTCACATTCCCATTATAAACAAATAAATTCAAAAACTCCCCTTGAAAGTTGTTCACGTATATTCAAAGGAATCATCAAACTATTTGCTTTGGTATATCACCAACAATTACTTTTGACAAAAAGATTCAACTTACGTAGTAAGCTTGCTGATCGTACATCCTTGGATCCTTCAGGAAGGCCCATCTTCTCTACCAAAACCTGGAATCCCAAGGGAGAATACAGAAAACTGTCAAACACATTTACTGGCTAAATTGAAAAGGTTATAATATGGATGAGTTAGAAAGAAATAACCAAATCAGCCACCCAAAGATAAAGAAACTGCGCTTATTTGATACTGCTAAGCTAGCGCTAAAAGTAATTGTTCAAAAGGATGGTTCATGAAGGGGTAGATTGCAAATAATACATGAGAAATGAGCCAAAGAACGTAAAAAGGTTTCACCTTTAATGCTGCTTCAGTAGGCATTCCATGGGCAACAAACTTATGCTCTGATTGTGTGACTCCAGCATCATTACAGACAGCAGCTATTTTTGCTATCATCTGAAGATTAGCATCCAATTTACCTGTTAGCCAGTTCTCTATTTTACCATCAGATGGATTGTATGTAGTTCCTTCCACCTTGAAGGCCCGCAGTGTGTCTACGTTAGGGCCAATAGCTACTAGTTTTGACACAGCCATCTGGTTAGTAGTCAAAGTACCAGTTTTATCTGAACAAATAACAGTTGTACAACCCAGAGTTTCCACGCTAGCTAGCTTCCGAACCAGGACATTCTTCTGGGCCATCTTGCGAGTACCTAGGGCGAGGCAAGTGGTGATGACTGCAGGCAAACCTTCTGGAATAGCAGCCACAGCCAACGCCACAGCAATCTCAAAGTAATACGTACACTTCTCAAATGAAAACTTGAAGTTCCTCGGCCATCCATCCACATACTCCCAGGTAAGGAAGTACTTAACGTTGATGAGCCAAACCAATAGACATATCAATCCAATCATTATGGTTAGCCTCTCTCCAAATTCATTGAGCTTCTTCTTCAAGGGTGTATCCTCCTCACTCTGGGACGCAACGTGTATCTGTGTATGCACCTTCCCAATCTCGGTTTCCATGCCGGTCTGAGTGACCAAGCAAATACAATTCCCGTTAACAACAGTCGTCCCCGCGAAAACCATACACCTCTTGCCTTGGATATCAGCAGGTTCAGAAACAGGTTTGTTAGACTTATTAACTGCTTCACTCTCTCCAGTCAAGGAGCCCTGCTCCAATCGCAAAGTGGAGCTAACCAATTCCACAACACGCATATCTGCAGGCACCTTATCCCCAACCTTAAGCTCGACAATATCACCAGGCACAAGATCCTTAGCTGGCAAATTAGGGATTTTCACGTTATCTCGAATCACCATGGCGTGTTCCGATTGAATTTCCTTCAGAGCCTCAAGCGCCTTCTCCGCATTACTCTCTTGCCATACTCCAACGATTGCGTTCACAATCAATATCAGGAATATCACCAGAGGCTCCACAAAAGCAGTAATCTCCATCTCGCTGCCTTCGTCGCCGTCGTACCATGCCAGGACGAAGGATATGATGGCGGCGGCGAGCAGAATCCGAACCAAGGTATCGTTGAACTGTTCGAGAATAAGACTCCAAATAGACTGGCCCTCGTGCTTCTCAAGTTCGTTCGAGCCATAGATCCGGCGCCGATTCTCAACCTCGTTGCTATTCAACCCCGATTTCACTCTCACCTTGTAGTGTTCCTCGCATTCACGCACATCCTTAGCCCACGCCTTGAAGATTTCACGGTCCGAATTCTCAGAACTCGTGTTCTCTTGTTTCCCATAATCTTCGCCTCCCTTCCCCATTTAGATCTGCCTAGATAAACCTGGAGAAAACAATTTCTCAATAAAAAATTGCTTCTCCCAGTTAATTCATAAAAACAAATAGAAAAAATCAGTAGAACCTATCGAAGCGGCGATTATTCGATCGTACAAATCAGAAACCCTAATTGAGAATTACGTACGAGTAACAAAAACTTCGCAGGGACGAAAAACCTATTGCGAGATCGGAAGAAAAAAAAGTCAAGGTAACGAAGTATTGAGAAAACTCGGGGTTTGTAATTGTAGGTGCTCTCTTTGATGAGTTGAAGGGGCGATTGATTTATCGTGAGAACTGAAAGTGAGAGAAAAAGGAAAAGCGTGAAAGAGAAAGGAACGTTCAAATATTGAAGGGCTCACGCATCGTTGAATGTGCTTGCCCAGTGAGCTATGCTATATTGCTATATGATGGAATTTGTGGCCAACTTCCTTACTCTCTTTAACAGTGTCCGGCTTATGGTGATTAATTAATAGTTAAAAAAGAAAGATTCGGGATTAGTGGGAGTCTAAACTTATAAACTATAAAGGAAGTTTCCTGGTACGATCGTGCGAGATAACTACATATTTAGAATTAAAAATAAAAAAGAAATGGAAGCAGAAGCCCGTCCTATTAGCCAAAATGGAAATTGAAAACTTCTAAGGATGACGTGGCACTCCTTGGTTGGTCTGAGTATTCTTTCCTGTTGCTGCAACTTATCGCGTCCACTACGCGCTTGGTATCTTTCTGTTGCTTAATATTATCGCTTTTAGTTTAGTTCAAAATTATTAGCCCAGATCTGCTGCATGCATCCGCGCGCCTTAACCTGTGGGTTCATCTGGAACCTTCCTCGATAAATCTTATCGATTGCTCACATGTGTTTCTATTTTTAATAATATTTTTTCTTATATTTTTACACCAAAACAATGAGAGACTAATTTATCGGAGAGCATTTTCGATATATTTGGTGTGCCTATTATTTTTATTAGATAATTGATATTTGTATTAAAAAAAATTTACAAGACTATCGTAAATTTTTTGAATTTGTTCGGATAAGTTCTTTTATTAAGTGGTGTTTGTAGAGGGTCTACATATATTATGTATTCATTAAAGAAAATTGATATGTCATGAAATGATACCATAATCACATATTAGTATCAATGTAATCTAATAAAACAATTTATAATCTAATATGAAGTAATATCAAATAAAAATATAAGAAAAATATATGTCATTTTAAATTATGTAAAGTTGTGTCATTTTAAAAAAGAGAAATAGATAGATAAAAGAGGAGAGAGATTTGACAAAAAAATTAAAGATGTGGATCCCACCTCTTTACTTTATGAGAGTGAAAAAATATAAATTATACTATTTTAAAAGGTAAACAATTTTTTCAAAAAAAAATATAGGGTTTTATGGGACTCTTACTTCTTATAGTTTTTACTAATAAAAATATAGATAATTGAGAATCCCGGGGAGCAGTTTTTTTTTTTTTTTTTATAACATCCCGGGGAGCAGTTTTGATTAGGGGTGGCAATTTGGGTTGACCCGCCCCGACCCGCCCCGCCCCGCCACCAACCCGCTAAAAACGGGGCGGGGCGGGTTGACCCGCCAAAAAATATGGGTTGTAAAAATGAACCCACCCCGTTTTATGGTGGGTTGGCGGGTTGGCGGGTCAACCCACCAACCCGCCAATTAATAAAAATTTAATTAAAATTCAAAAATAAATTATATTTTATGAATTTTTTTAATATTATTTTATTTTATTTCACATTTCTCTATATTTTTTTTAGTTTCAATCTTAAATGTATACTAATATTTGTCAAACATTCTTTAGGAATTTATAAATAGATAACATTTGTCATAAATAAAATAGTTATTCTTTATTTTTTCTAGAAAGTACTAAGATAAAAAAAAATTGAATATCACAAAAATTTAAATACTAATGAAATACTACCTAATTGTAAAAAAATAAAAAAAATAAAAAAATTTAAAACCCGACGGGTCAACCCGCCCCGCGGCGGGTTGAACCCGTTTTGACCCACTTCTAGGCGGGGCGGGTTGAGGTGGGTTGGTGGGTTGAAAATCTTAACCCAACCCGCCCCGTTTTGGCGGGTTGGCGGGTTGACCCGCCGGGCTCAACCCATATTGCCACCCCTAGTTTTGATGCGGGCTTTCGTGGAATTTTCGCTCTCACACGAAATCATGAATGACCCTTCAAAGTCAAACCTGCAGTCGTACTGAATTGGTAGAAATTTGTGTATATATTTATTTTTGGAAAAAGTTATGTGTCATGGCTTCTTTTTTTTAATACAAGTAGCTTTATTTAGATTTCAGCACCAGAAGATCAATAATAGGACAGTTTTTATAATATTATTTTCTTTATTTTTAGACTCTCATAATCATTTTTTTTATTTTTAAAATTGTAGCTCGAAACTTAAGATTAAGGGTGGCATAACGGGTTAGTTCGTAATTCGCAAAAAAAATTCGGGCCAGATTGACAAGAATGAACTGACAACTCGAGTCAGCCCGACCCAAGTCAATCTGGACTCAAACGAATCAGCTCGCGAGTCAAACGAATCAGCTCGTTACTCTTTTTAAATAAAAAATAAAAAAAATAAAATACGATAAAAAATAATCACACTCACCGCTCACACACGCGGGTCAAGAAAAATGGCTGCTTCTCTAGAAAGCAAAATGAATGACATTAGTTAGTTTTCAGGTTCAAGTTCATACATATATGGAAGGAAATAAATTTCTTCTCACTTAAATAAAAAATTATTAATTATATATAAAGAAATTTTAAGTTTTTAAGCATATAAATTACACTTTGATGTATCTATAATAATGTAGATAAATTATTTATATTCATTTCCAAAATAATATTATTTTGAGTTTAAAAATCAAAAAATTATAATGAGAAAGACTCTTATAACCCTAAATAAATTATAATTACGAAAATATCTTTTTTCCTCAAAATAATATTATTTTGGACTCAATGTATATAACTTATCTACAATGACGACAGAAAAAAGGGGTAAATCAAATGTTATGTTATAAAATATAATTTGTTTTTCCTATATATACAATTTAGAATGAGCCTCATTCCATGACTTTTCTCTCTCCTTTATTTTCTCAATTGTATGTGTGGAAAAAAATTATTTACATCCTCCAACATGACATTTGATTTATACATAAATTATATAAAAAAATTAAAATAACTTTAAAATATTTGGATTTCAAATGAAATGATGCACGTAATTTTGCTTCACTTTATTTTAAGATAAATAATTATTTTATTTTTCAAAGTGTTTTTGAATGTGGTAAAAAATTTGTTTATGTTTAAAATAAATTAATATAAATATGCAACAAATAATTTATTTTATTAACGGAAAAAATATTTACCCTTTTAAAATATAGTCATTTTAGTTAAAATTATTGTTTTTATTTATTATTTAAATTAAAAAAACTTTCATCTTCTCTCATAATTATTTCTGTTTCTCTCACCGTAAAATACAATAATTTTGGCTAAAATAATACAATTTTATATTTTTCACAATGATAAACACTGTTTGCAAAAAAAAAAAAGATAAACACTAATCTCTTTATTAATTTAGGTTATGCGTAAAGTTTGTATTTTTTATATTTCTCCTCTAAACTGATTCTTCTAAAGATTTAAAAAAGAGGGTGGAATGGTAATATTTATTTTTTGGTAGGTAAAGACTTAAAAAAGAGTGCGGAGTAGTAATATTAATATATAAGGATAATATAAACATGTTCTAGTGGTAGCTGCCAACGTGCCATAACAGTCTTCGAATCTTCTGTGTAGGTTTCCTGAATAATTAATTTTTAGAGTAAAGTATTTTTTGATACTTAATAAATATTATGGGGGTCATTTTAATCTTTTAAAAATAAATTATGATTCTTTTTTAAATTTAAAATAAACACAGTTAATCAAAATCATGATTTAAATTAAATAAGACTCACGTTAATTCATCAAAAAAAACTAATATAAATATATTTTAAATTTTAAAAAATTACATATAAATTTTTTTAGAGTTTTATAATTCTTAACATGAGAATTCAAATTTTTCTACAACATGAGAATTGAATTCTCGTAAAATCAAATCTCATTTTTTTAAGAGATTAAATTAACTTTATTGAGAACATAAAAAACAGTTAACTCTAATTTCTACTTAGTGGATAAGTCGTACGCATTCTTTCCTTGCTTCGGCTTTTAATATTCCTTTTTTAGTGGTCTCAATGAAACGACCCCAAACCGAAGCAGACACGACTCTTTATCTGATTAGACCTAATGTCGTGGTCGTAGTAGTTGGGCACTTGGGTGGTGCTGGATTCCAAAATTCCAGGCATATACTTTCATCATATTGGGAAACAGTAATGAAATGAAATAAATAAATAAATATTCTCATACAATTTATCTTGTGTTAAGAAATTAAATAGACGATGATCCAACTTTAGGTTATTTGATCACACAAATTTGGAAATGAATAATGTGATATGTAATTTCACATTGTGAGAATAAATCAATGGTGATGAGAGATATAGAGAACAAATATTAGAATAAAAAGCGATAAAAAAATAATTGTTAATTTATCTATAAACATCCTCAGATCCTCTTAACATAAACTGATTATATAAATTACACTTAAGAAAATCTATTTTCCAAAAAAAAATTATACCATATCATACAATTAACTATGCAGTGATCTTATATTGTATCTCAAAAAAACAAAAGGTGAATATGACTTTAAACTTTAAATCACATTTAGTCATCGAATTGGTGATAGAAATATCAGAAGTAGAAGTTGTCACTAGTTGAAGGGCAACGAAGGGAAAAGTAATGGGAGTGCTTTCACTTTAAATTCAGCGTTGAAAGTCCATGTAGTCAGAGGGATCGCGAATAAGAAATAATCGTACTTTTGGGGACAAACTGTTTAAGGGTACGTTTCGGAAAAGGATCCTCAACCGTTTTCGCAACATTGTTGATGATTTTAACCTTTGAAATTGTTTTGTTTTATAACTAAAAAGACAAAAATAAACAAAATTTAAAATTAAGAGCCATATGATTTGAAATTGGGATAAGATCAACTTAAATTAATATAAGAATAATATATTTTACATTTAATCTTAATTTTTTAATTTTTGTCAATCAAATAATTATAGTTAATTGAATTATTATTATTAATTAATTTTTAATAAATTATAATTATCAAATATATAAAAATTAACTATTAAGATTGAAATAAAATTTATTATTCTTACCTCATTTAAGGATATGTTGACCCTTTGAAATTATACAGCATGCAATCCAAAATTGCTGACGATCGCGGTCGTAAGGTTTCTTTTGCGAGCACGGGACTTGATATTAAAAGTTGTCATGTAGTAT